ACCGAGGAGATTGAATCCTTTAATGGCTTGCTGTCAACTTTTGTGAGCAACCTCAGATCAGGACAAAAATACCGAAACCGTGTCTTTACATCGTGTAATCGTAATCTCGGTGGATTCATAAACAAAGGGACAGGAAAAAATGGCGTAGAACTGTTCCTCTCAGAAAGAGGCCAACGGAAAACCTGGCTGATGTTTCGTGATTCTCTTTATAGAACTGTAGACATGGAGACCAGTCACGGGAATTACGAGGACGAAACTGGATACAAACCGAAAAGGAAGCGCAATGATTAATTCTATATCTGATAGGACTACGAGCCACCAACAAGACCTTATGAGGATCTTGTCGTGGAACATTCATGACGCAATGTCCTTCAAAGAGGGCCCCAAGGCCGATGATGAGGACTTCGTCAAACTTCTCATTGGGTGTAACATATTCTGCCTGCAGGAAACGAAGGCTGAGTTCCACCTTCCAAACTTCAAATACTACAATAGCCTTAGAACCGGCTCGCGCTCCGGTGGGCTATGTGTGGGGGTCCATCGATCCCTGTCAGGAGACTTCAAGCCCGTAAAAAGCTCCCATCCAGATATTCAAGCGGTGACTTTTTGCCCCGCCACTGATGATACTCTTAAGTTCACAATAATCAACGTATACGACTCCCCAGAGCAGTCATCCTACAAAAAGAGACTGAAAAACAGCAATGGTGGACCAACCCAGTCAACACTCGAATCCATTATTGACTTTGTTGCTGAAAACACAGATCTCGGCGAGAAACTGGTTCTAGGAGACTTCAATGCAAGAACAGGGGACCTCAACTTTAACTTTGATGATGAACCTCCAGCTGACATCGAGGCTTTCTCAACAATCGCAAGCTTTCCAGAAAAATCAACAAGATCAAGCAAAGACTCTGTGGTAAACCCAAGGGGAAAACTTTTTCTGGACTTCATATCCAGTCTGAACCTTAGCATTCTTAATGGTGATACACTAGGAGACATCTTTGGGGAACCCACCTCAATTAATTACAATGGACACAGCGTTGTAGACTACGTAACAGCATCCCCCATGCTAAGGGAATCGGTGCAAAGTCTTAAGGTCTTAGATCTTACGAAATTCTCAGACCACCGCCCATGCTTATGCACACTGAAACTAAGTCATAATTATATAATTGATCCGGACGAAATTCTATCCTCGCTCCAGCCAGCCCCAATAAAACACAAATGGGACGAGAATGCTTCAGAGAATAAACAGCAGTTCCTAGATGTCCAAAAAGAACCCCAGTTTGCAAGCAGAATCGCGGAACTGGTTGAAGCTGTTTGCGTAAAAAAGGAGGATGTCATTAAGCTCAATGAAAACATCGTCGGCATTTATCGTGATATGGCTGATCAGGCCCTACCAAGACCTAGAAAACATAAACAAAAACCCCTCAATAGGAAAACTCGGGGATACAAAAGGGCAAAACCGAAGTCTCCATGGTTTGATATTGCCTGCATCATCGAAAAACGTGAACTAAATCGATTAGCTAAAACATACGGTAAAAGTCCTCTTGATAAAGAACTGAGAGACAGCTACTACAACAAACGCCGCGAATATCGAAAGCTCGTGAGACAGAAGAAGGCCAAGTTCGTGGAATCTCTTTGTCGTGATGTTGACGAGGGGCGCGACATAAACTGGAGTCGCTTTAAGAAACTTAAAAGCTTCTCCTCAAATGGCTCAAAGCTGGACGTTTTCGATATGATGAACTTCTGTAAATTCTTCAAAGAGCTGTACTCAAAACCTTCCCTCCCGAATGAAGAAACTGCTGACTTCACGGAACGCAGAAAGACTGAACTTCGTGTTCATGAACTCGTGGAAGTTCTGGACAAAGATATCGAAATAGAGGAACTTCGGACCGCCATCAAAGGCCTTAAGAAAGGGAAAGCCATCGCCGAAGATAAAATCCTGAATGAGTTCCTCATTTCGTCAGATGAACCAATGCTGTCAGCTGTTCTCAACCTGTTCAACCACTGTTTGAAACTCGGGGAGTATCCATGGACGACCTCTCTAGTTACCCCCTTGCACAAAAAGGGGAGTGTATACGATCCGAACAACTACCGGGCGATAGCCGTGGCGAGCAATGTTGGGAAGCTGTTTTCAACTATCTTATTACAGCGCCTACTCACATTCCGGTCACTGAACTGTCCAGACACCATAAACCAGCTAGGGTTCTGTAAAAAAGCACAGACGAGTGACCACATACTAACACTCTCAACTTGCATCCAAAAGTATGTAACGCAACGGAAAAAGAGGCTATATGGATGCTTCGTCGACTACGCGAAGGCGTTCGACTCTGTGTGCCGAGATGCCATGCTCTATAAACTCTGGGAGCTAGGAGTAAGAGGTCGATACTTTCAATGTATCGAGCAGATGTATTCACATTCCTCAGCAAAAATCAAACTGTTGAACAGATTGTCAGAGACAATCGACATTCACTGTGGGACTGAGCAAGGTCACCCGATGTCTCCTGAGCTGTTCAAGTGTTTCATCCACCAACTCTCCCTAGATCTGGATAACGCTGAGGAAGTCAACGTCCCTGAACTGAATAATGTTAATATCACTCATCTCCTCTGGGCTGATGATCTTATACTTCTTGCCCTTGATCATACTGGACTACAGAAACTTCTAAACGTTTTACACAGTTACTGTATCGAATGGGGACTAACCGTTAACATCGAAAAAACGGCAGTGATGGTGTTCAACCGTTCCGGGAGGCTCCTTAAAGAGAGTCTGACATTCCAACTCGGCGAAACCAACATCACATCAGTTCGAGAATATTGCTACCTCGGGATAACCTTTACCCTCAACGGTTCTTCAGCAGTAGCACAGAACAAACTGAAGCAAAAAGGTCTCAGAAGCTACTTCGCGCTAAAAAGCAGTATTGACTTAAGACACTTCAGGCGAACAATCGTATTCAAGCTATTCGACGCGCTTGTGGTACCGATTGTGACATACGGATGTCAGGTGTGGCTCCCAGAGACTCTCTTTGTCAGAAACTATCAAGATAATATCAACACCAAATCTCTCCTGAAGGAGACTGCAAGAGATCCTCTCGAAAAGCTTCATCTCTCATTCCTCAAGTGGACCTTAGGAGTGGGCAGAAAAACCTCAAATGCGAGTGTATGGGGTGATACAGGCCGCTGCCCCCTAGTGATAAAGGCATCAAAGCAAGTATTTGGGTATTTCAACCGACTTGAGCAAATGGACAGAGCTGGTTGCACAAGTCTAGCCAGACAGGCGTTCATAGAACAACGCACACTCAATCTGCCATGGTACAAAGGTATAGAAGATCTCCGACAAAGCCTTCAGTCAGTATCATCTCGCAGGTTGACCTACCCCAACCAATTCAAAACAGCACTACGTAGTACTTTTATTAACTGTTGGAACGAGGAGCGGCAAAACAACCGGAAGCTCAGTTTCTACAACACTATCAAAAGTGAATTTACAGCTGAAGCGTACCTGAACCTGCAGCTCAGTGGAGAAGAGGTGAAGCGGCTGGCGCAGTTCAGAATGAGTGCTCATAAGTTCAACATCGAGACCGGTAGATACGCCATCAACCGTGAAAATCCGCTCAGTCGCATTTGTAAGCACTGTTCTTCATCAGACCTTGAAGCTGTCGGTATACTGGCCGAACTACCAATGTTTGAGCCGATCATTGAAGATGAGAAACACGTTCTCACGGATTGTTCGCTTTACGACGACCTGAGGCGAAACATAGGTCAGCAGGCGAGAACCATGATCACCTCTGGAGCGGAGACCTTTGCCGACCTCTTCAAGGATATCCTATTGATCAGAGAAACTGCCAGATTCTTGAGTAAAGTGAACAAGCGGAGGTTCCCCCCGAGTGACAGAAAAGAAAAGGAAGGACCTTCAACATGACTCACGGACTCAACATGCGAAACGTGGATCCGACTGTGTGTTATTTTTCGTGTGCGTTTCACACTTTTGATTTAGTGTGGAATTTATGTGTGGATCTTAGGCATGGACACAAAGGACTGGTTGTTCGCGTCATGAACATTCCTTTTTAGAATAGCTCGGTTTTTAAACTCTTTAGACTTTAACCGTCAACCGTGCATTTTTCAGGACAGGTTTCGGTTTTTTCGTTTTTGACTTTCATTTTATCTTTATTTTTTAATATTTAGATCCGACACAATGTTTATTGTAATGATCATTTTATTTTGAAATCCTTTGAAATCCTTTGAAATCCTTTATCAATACGACGGTTGAAGTAAACACTGGTATATTGGATGATAATAATTGGTTTCCTCTGCACTCACTTAACTCTTCAGTGATACCTCAGACTCAGGACACGCAACCATAACCCGCACGCTTACACAAATAGAAAATTATAACTCACTAGCATTTAACAACACTGCTCAAACGAAGGCTCACGAGTAATTACGCACCAATTCAGACTAAAACTGAGAACTACTTAATCTTAGATCTTTAATCGTAAACATGCACCCAAAAATCGATTCCAGTTACGTTGAAAAGATTTGCCGCTAACCCCATTTAAAGGTACAGGTGTTCCTCTTTCTCTATCTCTCTCGATTACGGTCAACAGTTGCTGGCATCCTACGGTAAGAGGGAATCTTTCTCGCCGTGCCCACAGCATGCAACTCTGGTGTTTCATTTCAGGTAATCTGTGGGCTCTATGATCTCATTCCTCGCACGTGATCTCTCCTCATTGAATTCAGCTAGCAGGTCCGGGTTACTGTATTTTAGTGAGTGGTTGTACCACACAAAAATCAGAATTGATAGACCCACCCCATTTTTATTTAGACAGTACTTTGGTTTATAAATTATAACAAAAGAACCGGCTAAACGGAAGGGGGGTTTTAACACTGTGCAGTATACCCACCTACTGGCATGTTCTCGAGCCATGACCATGTTTTCAAACTCACCGCTGCAAAATACAGATTACAGCTATTAGTTTTAATAAGACAAAAGAAAAAGGCAAGAAGCTCACAGTGTAACAGAAACAGACGCCATAAAGGCAAGGGACAGCAGGGTGAGGAGGATGCCAAGTACGATACTGAAAGGTCTACAGCAAATGAGTATCTTGTTCCAGCAGCTGTCGTGCTCCGACTCAACCAGCCTCTGGAGCTCACTGTACCTCTCCTTATCCTGGCCGGGAGTATATTCTTATTTCACAGGTTTCTTTATACTAACATGTTGTTTTACTGATTAATTTTATACATTCCCCATGGTTTTTAATCAGATCGTGATATAGACTGTATTTAAAATATCACAATTTAATACAATTGGGGACAATGGTCGACCGTTTGTACAAAACATTCCCATAAATGTATTACAATTCAGTTATTTAAACAAACCCGGGCTAGTTTCTGCAGGAGTCTCCGATCAGAGGGAATAACAGGTCGACCGTCAGCATACTTGGAAGCAAGTTGTCTCTCCTTCTCATCCCGGGTTATCTCATCCACCCGCAACTTGTTCAGCTCCCGCGCAGCACTACCGCGCGTCTTCACAAAGTTGAACGGGAAGGCGGACAGTCCGTAAGCGGAGTAGATGACGTACACGAACAAGCCAAGTGAAGTTAGTACTGCCATCGTGAAGGATAGGGCAGACTCCACACCTGCCGTTATTTATTGGCTCTTATCTTAACTTCAATTTTTCAAAGAAAGTCAATAGTAAGTAAGTATAAAATATGGTGGATACTGTATTTAAGCTAATCGACATAAATATATAAATATGATTTTGATCAAGTATGCAAGAACCAAACCTTTCCGCTTAATCTGATCCCCTAAGGAATCGAGATCATCAATGATGGTGCCGTTGAAATTAGGGATGTCTCCAAACTGAACAAACGCCCCGACGAGAAGGAGGGCCACTACCAGAAAGACAAAGCAGAAGCTGTACTTGAAGGCTGAACACAGTCTGTCTGCTGCAGGAACATCGTCTTCAGAATCACCTGAATAGAAGTTTGCAAAATTCTTAAACTTTCTTTTATACATAGTTAGATACATTTTATTTGATGCATAGATAATAAAACGCTGAAGAATTATTTTATATCTTTAAAATTCAATTACGCAATAAAAATACGATCCTTCAGTTGAAAAAGATCAGAATTTAACTAAAAACATCCACAGTTTGTTAACCATCAGAAGTTCTCTTCTCCCCAATTAAATTTGATGGCTCGCAGCATCGTTCGACTAGCAGTCCGGTTAATTTAGTACCTTTAGTGGGTCTCATTTTATCATTAGCTCTAATTAAAGAACCTCTCACCCTCATACCGTAGTATCTATGGTAATGTGAGTGCCATGTGATTCCGCCGCACTCTCGACCCTCTTAGGAAAGCCCCGCCATAGTGTCCTCCGCCGTACTGACAATCGTCTTACTGTTTTTCTCCGCTTAAGTGCATTCAACCGAATTTTCCCATTCCCGGTCTGAGCAGGTCTTTGAAAGGTTTCCTTCGGAGGTTGAGAGATCCAGACAAAGGTTATCAAAACTGTGAATAGTAAAAATATCCCCATCTTACTTACTGGTTATCGTGCGTGATTCACAATATTTCTTTCTTTTAAATACAAAATCCTGAGAAGCAGCAGACTCTGAATTCAATAGACACAATTATAACACTATGATAATTCAGTTCACATAATTTGACAGTCTATGACGCGGAACGGTTTAATTCTGAAGTCGACAGGAGTTGCTCGGAGATGCAGCTGTCGACAAACTCAATTTTACAAAACTAAACTTATTCAGAGAAGATCCTGATTCAGTTTTTGGTGGTCTATCAATTTCAAAAAAATAACAGACTAGATCTACATAAATTTAACATTCAACAACTTATTTTTCCTTTGCTAATAAGACCATATTAATCCAAATCTGGACACATCTATAGTTAGCCTTGAAATCAATAGCCTTATCAACAAAAACATTTATTGTTAGTTGATATAGTTGGTATTCATGATTACCAAATTCTCCCAACTTTAACGAATACGATTTAATTTCAATACCTTCCTCAAAGAAGAAGTAATAGTTACAACAATATAAGGTATTGTTGCTATAGTTACATTACCATATAAGGTATTGTTGCTATAGTTACATTACCATATAAGGACAAATGAATACCTTCCTCAAAGAAGAAGTAAGCGAAGGGTATGAGGACGAAGAGACAGAAAGTAAGCAGGCTGTAACACGTGTAGTAGGTGTACAGGATAGCGTTGTTTATCTCAGCACGTGTCGTGTTATCTGCAGCCCAGTCCTGGGTGAGAGGGCAGATTAATCAATCATAGCACTAGGTACTCACTAGTAGGCACTAGATACTCACTAGTAGGCACAAGGTACTCACTAGTAGGCACTAGGTACTCACTAGTAGGAACTAGGTAGGAACTAGTAGGCACTAGGTACTCACTAGTAGGCACTATGTACTCACTAGTAGGCACTAGGTACTCACTAGTAGGCACTAGGTACTCACTAGTAGGCACTAGGTACTCACTAGTAGGCACTAGGTACTCACTAGTAGGCACTAGGTACTCACTAGTAGGCACTAGGTACTCACTAGCAGGCACTAGGTACTCACTAGCAGGCACTAGGTACTCACTAGTAGGCACTAGGTACTCACTAGTAGGCACTAGGTACTCACTAGTAGGCACTAGGTACTCACTAGTAGGCACTAGGTACTCACTAGTAGGCACTAGGTACTCACTAGTAGGCACTAGGTACTCACTAGTAGGCACTAGGTACTCACTAGTAGGTATTAGGTACTCACTAGTAGGCACTAGGTACTCACTAGTAGGCACAAGGTACTCACTAGTAGGAACTAGGTACTCACTAGTAGGCACTAGGTACTCACTAGTAGGCACTAGGTACTCACTAGTAGGCACTAGGTACTCACTAGCAGGCACTAGGTACTCACTAGTAGGCACTAGGTAGTAGGTACTCACGCTTGATTTACGGGGTAATATATAAATAACTTAACTTGATAAAATGTTAGATCTCACTTCATGATTTGGATATGAAAGTTTGGTAAATTTAACAACACCAGCACACTATCTGAAAACAATTTAGAAACTAACCCGCCAAGTTCCATTAGGAAACTTCTGATAAGAAGTCATGAAAACATCAACAGGAAGAAGTAGAGCGGTTATGAGGACCAGAGCGCAACACAGACCACTCACGAACCTGATTCAGTTTTTGGTGGTCAATTTCAAACAAATAACAGACTAGATCTACATAAATTTAACATTCTCTGAGCCATGCAAAAATGTGTTTCTCCAAAAATCGGCTTTCACCGTGGAGTTTGGACGAGACATGGTCACAGCTCTGGATTCTCTACCAGGTTATTCGGGCAAACCGAAATTCTATGACAGACCCGGCTACAATGTTACGTAAGAGCGCAACACCGCCCACTCACGAACGAGACATACTGTTACCATGGCAACACATCCCACTCACGAACCGGGGTGCGGTGCCAGGATGTGCTTCATGTGCGAACTTTCTGATGTACACTGTCACCACTATGATGCATATCTGTGGGAGGGCATCTTTATCTTTGCAATCTTTAAATAATTTCAAGTTGTGTTTTCTTTTTGAAAATTAGATTTATTTGTGTTGGAAAATGGGAAGATAGATAATAATCATGGTCGGTGAAATTGTAAGCGAATGTTTAGTATTTACCAATATTATGGCTCCAAAGGTAGCGGTAGAGCCAATAAAGAGTTCTAACGGAATCTTAATAGTATCATTCAATGCCATGATCCTGAGAGTGATATAATTATAATATTTATGAAACTTGTCGATATGAATATATATCGAAGAAAGACATATCAAAGCCATCCAAGTGTGATTTATTTTGGAAATATCAAGTTATACATTTTACAATAATTTGTCTCATTGATAAATTCATTAATTCAAACACACTTAGTCCAGGTCTAAAGAAATGAATTATCCAATAATAATTGATCTATCATATAAAATAAAATAACATACAATTATGAAATGTATTCAATATAGCTGAAATATAAATTCTTGCTTGACAGTATATAAAAATCCCAAAAAATAAACATAAAATACATACAAAAGAGTTTACGGAAGAGAATAAAAAACTCTAATTGGTACAAAAATAAAACGTAAAGTTTGCTAGCAAAATTGTATAAAATATAAAATATGAATACGAACCCTTTTACTGTAAAAAAGTATGTTTATAATAATCCCCAGTATAAAACTATAAAAAATATGAAAAGAAATGATCACGACCTATTTTGGAGGATCAAATGACATCTCCAGGTAAAGGTGCATTCCTTGGGGCGGCTCAACCTCAACTTTCTGGTGAGTAATAAAACCGGGGAATATGAGGAGGTCTCCAGCTTCTATATCCGTCACGTAGCAGCTTTGTTTCGTGAAGAAATAACCAGTTACAACACTGAAGGTGGAACAGTTGCGTTGACTTTAACTCGATTAAACCCATTAAAAATATAGATAGTGTACTGTGTATCAATCAGTAAGTTGACATGTGCAATTTATAACATACCCTTCCACAGCAGGATAATCGTTAAGAGGCACTAAAACATGATAAGCAGCAGGATTCCCTCTATGTACGTGTCTCTTCTTCTCGAATTTACCCTCAACCTGTCGAGGACAATTACTAATAAAATTAGACAAGTAGAGACAAGTAGAGACAAATCAAGATAACTCCGAATAAAGAACCCTGGATCATTGGGAGAAATACATGGCTTACTCAATTGTATTATACGCTTTTGAAAAACATCATAATTAATCTCGAGTTAGTAATGAATCTCAGCAGCCAAGTGTAGTTATTATGTAACTCCTGTAATACCTCAATTATCCAACTGTCGTAAAGCTCCCCTTTGGGCTTGTAACCAGTGTAAAGTTTAGAAACAACATCCTCAGTCAGGTCCAGAATAACAGATGTGAGCGTGTCATTATATACTGACTTTCTGAGGTAATAGATTGAATATGATTAAAGTTATAAACTGATCCGGCTATCAACTTGAAACTGATAACTGAATATTAACTTAACCACGGTTTATCTACTTACGTAACATTGTAGCCGGGTCTGTCATAGAATTTCGGTTTGCCCGAGTAACCTGGTAGAGAATCCAGAGCTGTGACCATGTCTCGTCCAAACTCCACGGTGAAAGCCGATTTTTGGAGAAACACATTTTTGCATGGCTCAGAAAACGCTTCCGCCTCCAAAACCTGCGATGTGGCATCTTTAAATCTACAATTTTGCGTAAAAATCGTACGTGATGGTCTTGTGACTCCAAGAAAATTTCGTTCGGAGTTAGCGCGCACAGTAAACATCAGTAAAAGCAAAACATGAACGCATCCGTCCCGTGCTGCTATGCACAGCAAACAAGCTACACAAAAAGGATAAAGTCAAACCTTGTAACTGACGTATTTTTCTTTCCAATCCTCCAAAAATAGTCCGGCTAACTTAAGATCAGCCCCGTCTTCCTTGGTCTTTAACCACCTAAAGAAATAAAAGTATTCGTCTCCAGACGGGAACTGCTAGTTCTAATTCAACACCTCTTATCAATTTTTTGTTATTAATTTGAATGAAATGATAATTATCATCAGCTGACTTACCCATAATTGTGAACATTAGAGATAAACACAGGGACACGGTTCTCAAACAGGGTTTTGCAGAACGAGATATCTGGTTCAAGATGATTGTCGTATGAATTCCATTCCACCATTTTAACGGCTATAGATCGTTCAACAACATACAGATTTCGTACACAAGCTACTGGCATAACACCCTGGACCTGAAGAATACAAATATTCTCATCAAATCTTCCTGAAGATAAAGTTATCAACCCAACAGACATAGTTGAACACCCAAGCTTCTTGCAAATATTAATTTTTACAACAAAACACTTTTCCTTATAAATCCAAAGCAAATCGTCACACTAAAAAACATATCGTCACACTCACAGTTCTGGTGAGAATATTAGCATAGTCAGCAGATCTCTTGTACCCCCAAGTGTCCGTGAAGGTCCCCCAGAAGTTGGACCAGGCTGTTCCGTCCCGTTGTGCCACTGTTAAAAAATACGAGTTAACTGACGTCTCAGAGTTACACAGTTAAGAGATAATCGAGTAAGTTTAGGGCGGGGGAAGATGATTGTAATCGCTTTCACATCAAGGATCGATAATTGCGGTAAATGCGGCCCCGCTTCATGTTTTCAGATGTTTTAAAGTCTGGCGATTTACTTTTGTCCTTCGTGCTCAAAGATGAATTCTTTATTAAACAAATGTGCCATTTTAACACACAAAGTTTCTCCCAAGTCAAATTTGCTCGCATAAAACCTGGCTACCATGAATATGGAGCATAGACCATAGTACTCTGCCTCCTAAGGGCCAATAACGGAAATGGAATCAAGTCACGTGACTCAACGATGGCGTTTTATTGGATAGATATTCTGAATAATTCAAGTGCACGATGGGCACCTCCCTCAGCTACAATTTATGTCAAAAAATCCTACCACTTAACATATCCTTGACGCCTCAAATTGCTCAATTCGACCTGGTTAATTAATAAAACATTAAAAGTAAATACTTCTGAGTAGACATTTTCCTTTTCAGGCTTGCTTTGACCGGTAGTCATCATATCAGGGAACATCAGATTCTTTTGATACTTGACAAGAAATTGGCGCAGGGATTTCATATCAGTTAAAATCTCACTTAAAATACAATCTCACTTAAATTCGACAATCTCACTTAAATTTCTGTTCACTAGTTTGGGGCTTTGCTGCAAAATCCCATATTGAATCACTGTTCACTAAACAAAAGCAGGGAATACGAGCAGTTATGCCGGGCTACGTGAATTACTATTACAAGGACGGTAAGCTTCCGGATCATACTAAAACTACGTTTAAAGAGTACGAAATATTATCTGTACACGGGGTCATCATAAAAAATGCTCTGACTCTGATGCACAAGATAACTTACATGCCTGGCCTTCTGCCGTCGTCGATAAAAGACTTATTTCCTCCCGATATACCAAAGTATGGCACGTCTTATGACGACAATATCGACTGGCTAACAACGTTCTCTCAACCAGATCTACGCGCTAGTGTTCTGTATAAAGGTCCTATATTAGCTATTACCGAGCACAACATTAGTCGCATAACTTGCCCATCTAGCATTTTCTCAATAAGCATATATAAGAAATCAGCGAAGCGTGTAATGATAGAACTACAAAGCTCAGGAAACGATGAAGAATGGCCACCTTTTCTGTTACATAATTTACCCGGGCTACGTAAATCGACAAGATCAGGCACACAACAAATCAACTACCGAGAATAAACTAAGGAATAAATAAAACCAGACGGTTAGCACACTAGTCACTATCAACCATATGCCACTTTTTTCACTGCCCATTCACTGTCATATTAATAGCATCATATAGATAGCGCTAGCAGGTGCTGATAAGACATGGGCTCAGTTATTCTTTTTTGTTTTAACCTCAAGTAGCTTATAAAACAGTGCGTGTGATCATCTGTCGTATCAAATCAAATTATTTGTCACTATATGTTAATAAATCATGATATACAAGTTTTAATTTTTAAAGTTTCTGTTTTTGTTTTTAATGAATAGACGTACGTAATCAACATTTTCAATTTTCATATTCACGCATATTAAATAAAATTATATTGTTATGTATTATATTATTTTGTAAACATTGGCCGGGTATAAAAAACCGGTCCCCAAACAACAACAAGTTTGTTCACAAAAAAATGTGGTTGTGCAGTTAGAATTGCTCTTGTGCAGGTGTTATATTTCTTGTTTATTTGTTTCAGTTATTTTAATACTAATGTTTATAATGTTTCAGAATGTTTTAACCTCAGTGTGATTAAGTCTAAATGAACAAAGAGTTTTACTTATACTTCATTTAATCACACTGAGGTAACAACTATGGACAAACTACTGCGTCCTGAGACTTTTAGCGCCGACCCCTCTGCTGCCAACAGTTCCAAGGAGTGGGAGCACTGGAAAGCTAGGTTCGTGAAGTTCATTGGATCAATCACTAGCATTACGGAGGCTAACAAACAGGACCTACTCGTAAACTATGTAAGCACGGAGATCTATGCTCATATTTCGGAGACAGCTGATTACACAGCCTCAATTGCAGCATTGGAGAGTGTCTTCAATCCTAAGAGGAACGTCATTTTTGCACGACACCTGCTTAACACTTGCAAGCAAGACTCCAATACAGTGGACGCCTATTACCAAAAACTCAAATTTTTAGCCAAAGACTGCGTTTTCGGTGCAGTAAATGAGGCTACACACCAAAATGAAGCCATAAGAGAGGCATTTATAGCTGGCCTACAGTCTCCTGGTATACGTCAACGGGTATTGGAAAGCGAGAAGACTGCATTGTCAGACATCTATTCCTTAGCTAGAGGGCTAGAGGCAGCAAAGGTTCAGGCCCAATCTTATGTCAACCAAAGTTCATCTCTCAACGCAATTGTTAATAACAATGAATCAGTGTCAGATTCAGAAGGGTGTGCTAACCATGATGACAACTTCGTAGCAGCTGCCCCATTTCAATTCTCCTGTTATTTCTGCGGTGGGCCCAAACCGCACACAAACAGACAGGCCTGTCCTGCTTTTAACTCTAACTGCAACGGTTGTGGAATTCAGGGACATTTCCAGAAAGTCTGCAAAGCCGGTCGCCAATCTCAAGTTCGGGGCGGCAGTGCCCGCGGCAAGAATCGACGTAACAATCAATATCGTAGCTCTCAGAACATGACATCATCAGCAGTCCCTCACAGTAGCTCTCAATCCCAAAACGGGACATCATCGGCTCTTCACAACCATTATCTTGCAGCTTCGCCTCCATGCTTGTCCAAGAGTATTACCAGAGTCGTGGTCAATGGAAGAGAGCTTGATGCCTTGGTAGATTCTGGAAGTTCAGCAACTTTTCTCAGTAATGCCAGTGTCCGGAAGCATCAATGGGACATTAATCGCGGAGACCATGCACCTGTCAGTATGGCCTCTTCGTCCCACATCTCTCATCCTGTCGGTCACTGTACAGTAGATGTTCATTTCAATGGTGAATTATTACCAAATCAAACGATTGTGGTAATGAAGGACTTATGTGCTGATATGATCATAGGACTAGATATCCTTTCTGATTACAAATCCGTGACATTGGAGTTTGGAGGCCACAAACCTCCTACTATTGTATCTGCAGCTGCTTGTCTCATCAAAACACCTAAGCTCTTTGGACAATTAGAGGGGGACAGCCACCCTATAAGTATCAAATCAAGGAGATATTCTAACATTGATAAAACATTTATCAGAGTCGAGGTTAAAAAGCTGCTAGAAGCAGGAATCATTAAAGAGTGCGAGTCTCCATGGAGAGCCCAGGTCCTGGTCCACCAAGGGAATGAGAATCACAAGAAACGCCTTGTCATCGATTACTCCCAAACGATAAACAGATTTACTAAATTGGATGCTTATCCAGTCCCTCGAATCGACGAGATGGTAGAAGATATCTCAAAGCGCAAGTACTACAGTACACTTGATCTCTCATCTGCTTACCACCAGGTCCCTATTGCCGAAGACGAGCAAGAATATACCGCTTTCGAAGCTGATGGTAAGCTCTACTGTTTCATGTTTATCCCTTTCGGGGTGACTAACGGAGTGTCTGCCTTTCAAAGAACTGTCAACGATATCATAGCTGCAGAACACCTATCTGGTGAATACGTATATGTTGATAATATCACCATCGTAGGCATGACTAAGGAGGAGCATGATAATAACCTAGCAGAATTCCTTACAGCTGCTGCTAAGTACAATCTTGAATTTAATGATAGTAAAACAGTGTCCGGGGTCACTTCGATTAAGCTTCTTGGATATCTTGTTAGTCATAATTCCATAAAGCCCGATCCTGACAGAATACAACCTCTCCTGGGTATGCCTGCACCCAACAATGACAAATCCCTAAAGAGTGTACTTGGCTTGTTCGCTCATTACTCTAGGTGGGTCAAGAACTTTTCAGACAAGATTCACCCCCTGTCTCATGTCACTTCATTTCCTCTCAATGACAAACAGATAAAAGCATTTCAACTGTTAAAATCTGAAATTGCCAAAGCTGTCCTGGCCACGCCTGATCCTAATCTTCCTTTTACTCTAGAAACGGATGCATCAGACTATGCAATTGGCGCTACTCTCTGTCAATCCACTCGACCGATTGCATTCTTTTCCAGAACTCTTAACTCATCAGAGCGCAATCATCACTCAGTAGAGAAAGAAGCTTACGCTATCGTGGAGGCAATTCGTAAATGGAAACACTACCTCCTAGGGTCCCAATTCACTGTCATCACGGATCAACAGTCAGTTTCCTTCATGTTCGGTCTCTTAAACCATGGTAAAATTAAGAACGATAAAATAACCCGTTGGAGGATTGAGCTTTCGCCTTATGCATTTGACATTATGCACAGGCCTGGAAAAGATAACCTTCCAGCCGATGCTTTATCTCGATTAGTGTATCCTCATTGCTCAGCGATCACTAGTCTAAAAGCCTTACATGATCAGCTTTGCCATCCAGGAGTAACGCGTATGTCTCACTTTGTTCGCTCTCGGAATCTTCCTTTCTCTGTGGAAGATATTAAGAAAATGACAAGATCCTGCAGGGATTGTGCCGAGGTTAAGCCACGCTATTTTAAACCTCAACAGCCCCAGCATCTTATAAAAGCTACGGCCCCATTTGAGCGTTTGAACCTGGATTTCAAGGGACCACTCCCAACAAACACGAAAAACAAATTCATCCTCACTATCGTAGATGAATATTCTCGCTACCCCTTTGCTTTTCCCTGTACCGACACTTCCACCGATTCTGTCAAAAGCTGTCTAACGTCAATCTTTGGAGTATTTGGCATGCCGTCCTTCATTCACTCCGATCAGGGTAGTGGGTTCATGTCTGCAGAACTCAAGAAATGGCTACTCGAAAAAGGCATTGCTACAAGCCGTTCTTCACGTTTTAATCCCCAAGGAAACGGTCAAGTGGAGAAATACAATGGAACAGTGTGGAAGGCTGTACAATTAGCCTTAAGGACGAGAAAACTTCCACTAAAACTTTGGGAGCAGGTGATTACTGATGCTTTACATTCTATACGGTCCCTCCTCTGCACTGCAACTAACGATACCCCTCACGAACGTGTGTTTAATTTTCCTCGTAAATCAACAACTGGTAGCTCTCTTCCTGGGTGGCTAACAGATAACTCTAAAGCATTAATGAAACGTCACACCAATCGATCAAAGTACGATCCTCTCGTAGAAGAAGTGGAGCTTCTGGACGTCAATCCTAACACCAGTCATGTCAGAACTGGAGAAGGGGTAGAGCTGACGGTCTCCAATAAACACCTAGCTCCTATTGGTGATGATTCCCGGCCTAATGCTTTTGACAATATTGTGACTTCCGATGTTCATGACAGTATTGTGCCTTCAGATAATGTGATTAATGAAAACAAAAGTATTAATGAGGCTGTAACCAAAACTATTGACAATCCTATAAGACTGCGTAGATCTGGTAGAGACAGAACTCCCACAGTGTTGTATCCATCACCTGATAGCACGTCTAGTAACTCTGGCTATCAGTAAACATTTCATATTCACGGTTTTCATATTTACGTTTCATACTTATGTTTCACATTCATGTTTCATATTCACCTGAGTTGGGTATTTCCGAAGTAGATGTTTTTCTCTTTATTAGAATTGAATTCTGATTGTTTTGTATTCCGTTCAATAGAGCGTGACTGACGTATTTATTATATTTAGCCTGTCGGAGGTTTAATTGAATTTTTACCCGAGTAGGGAAATCGGCATTATTCTTAGAACCTGTGTTAGGAAGGTAATTTATATTTTGTGCCGTGCACATTTTAAATTGGCACTTTGAAAGGGTCTACTCTAGGACGCCATCTTAGGTCAAAGTTTTTGTAAGCACTTCTGTTTTAAACTTTGCGCGCGCACGCGCACGGGATCACTTTTCGATCTTGATTTTGTAGTTGTGTTTATTTATTCGGGGAGATTGTTATATTTCTTGTTTATTTGTTTCAGTTATTTTAATACTAATGTTTATAATGTTTCAGAATGTTTTAACCTCAGTGTGATTAAGTCTAAATGAACAAAGAGTTTTACTTATACTTCAGCAGGCGACAAGGTTTTTTCGACCCATAATTCTCTACAAGATGTCCAGGGGAGGGGTTAAAATACTTTCCTAAATTTTAATAAGTAAAAATAATATACAAGGCACTAAATAGACCTTATTTGGTGAAACACGAGGCTAATGCCATGTTACAAAATAACCGCCATTAAATGGTAACAGGAAATGCCAATCTTCTCTGTATCGTTCCAATTTTAGTATATGCACTACCGATAACCGAAGTAGTACGATATGGCTGCAAAGGTAAGCACCCCTCTATCACATGCTTTATTTCTTAAATGATTTTATATAATTCGCTAATTGTGTGATATATTTGTTCACAGTTTCATTTTGATATCGTATTATATATACATCTCGAGAGGCCTGATTCAAATATCATTTATCGATGAAAATTACCTTAATTGGTACACGTCCTTTTCTATAATATAATCTCAACCGTGAAAATATCATAATATAGTAGATCATAATTGGTGATGATATATAATATGGTAATAGGTGACTTTCTGTGCTGTGGTTGAACCGAAAGATTAAACTTACAGAGCGGAGCTATAACTGGTTTCTGATAAGAAACTAGCTCAGGAATAGTGTCCACAGTAATGTGTACACTCGAGTCAATGAACACGAAGTACTCAGCAGCTGTCTTAGCGAACAACTCGAGAAAGTAGTGCCTCGAGTCGTGATCTTCACTGTCAAATTCCTGGGTACATATTGTAAGTTGAGTGTAGGATTTACAGCCAAAAAGCTATAGAATACTTCCTATCAGAAAATTGTCTCATTTCTAGGTAAAATGTGACGACGCTTTTGAATTACAACAATATACACTCTTCGTAATATAATACACCCTGGCACTGATATAACATTTAGCAATATAACATTATAAGATGCACGTAGATTGTAGATTCTTAATTTTTTTACCTCTTCCAAGTGAGTGAATTTCTCAAATCCCTCGGGTGTCCATTCATTAACAAGGTCACTATCAACAAGAGATAGGATAACCAGCTCAACTCTGCTCTTATCGTACTTCATAGCTTGTAGACTTTTCAACAGGTTAGATAGAAAGGGATAGTGTTCTTCAATGTAAACCTGAGATACAAGGTATCATTTCAACAGGTTAGGTAGAAAAGGATAGTGTTCTTCAATGTAAACCTGAGATATAAGGTATCATTGTAAGTTGTTAGCTTGTTAGTAAAGAACTCTGGCGCATCTAGATCCAATTGATGACAATAACAATAGGGGGAAGAAATAACAATAGGGGGCAGGATTTGCTAATTTTTTTTAAAAGCACGTGACAGAAATTCCTGACAATTCAGGTTATTCCGACTAAGGTGCTCGTTAAGTGTTCTTTAATTAGTTTTTCCAGGTATGTAAGGTTTCAGACTGGTCTGTAGTTTCTCAATAGGGCATAAGGTAAGAGTTTAAGTAAAAAATACACTCAATCACGTGACTAGCGTGGTGTTACCCACGTGACCCTGATAGTAATTATCACGTGACTAGCGTGGTGTGACCCACGTGACCCTGATAGTAATTATCACGTGACTAGCGTGGTGTGACCCACGTGACCCTGATAGTAATTATTATGACACATTAGAGTGTTTTGATATGAGGTCATGTGACTCAAGCAATAGTTACTTCATGATAGATGGTATGTCACGTTACCACAAGATCACACGAGTGTCCAATCAAATCCCAATCACAAAGTTAATTGGCAATCATACCACTTTGATAGTCCGGCTGGGTTTCGAACTTGCAAGTATATACTGGAGTATAACAAATACAATAGAAGGAAGTTGACACCTGTTCATTAATGCCTCCACACAGAAAACTTGCTTGATGGGATACACACTACTAGTCAACTTGATCATACTTTTAACTTTTTAATCCTATGTACAAGTATATTGTAACATGAGGATAGCTAATTACCAATTATGATAGATAAGAGTGTTATATGACATTTTAATGATCCAATGAATGGTTGTGTTTCAAAGTCTGAGAGTTAATCGCCAATTATAAATTTAGATAGGAGTGTTAAGCAATTTGTAATCAGATCCCCATCTGAGAGTTAATTGCCAATTATAATAGATAGGAATGTTTTAATAGAATCGAGCTTAAATACGAGCACAAATTTTATTTTCTATATTATTCCTCTCCACTTTATTCATTTGCTGAAGTTTCTTTCCTCGTTGACTACATTTAACAAACCATGGTTCGATGTGATGACTCTATGAGTTATGCGAATTATAAGCGTCACTTACAAACCTGTAAAGGGACAGGGCGTTTTTGTCCAATATGTTGTGTTGAAATTGACCTTAGAGCCTTAGTGGTATCGCTTTAACCGACCATCTCCTGAATTTCCAACGAAAATGGTTTGTAACTTTTTAGATATTTCTATTGAACATGAATTCTGTCCATAGACAATAAACTATGGTTTTAAGCTAGCATTTGCTGTTTTTCCATTTTTGCATAATTTGCGTGATTATAGTTATCCGAGCCCCGATTGTGGAGAGAGGTTTAGTACTGGACGAGCAAGAGATCAGCACCGACCTCGATGTGGCTACCCACGACCTCAACCTAAACGGCGTAGAACAGATGCAGATGGAGCGGTGCTATCTCACGACCACCAGGACCCTGAAGGAACAAGAACTGCACTGAATGGATTGTTCAAGATCACTTCATCAGAGTCACCTGCAGTGACCGAGATTCTGCAGAATGAGGCTGAGAGATTAGCAGACATTCTAAGGTAGGTGATGGAAGTATTTTAAACGAGCTTATCCTGTTCAAACCCTGGATGCACTACACAAAAAATTCGCTGTAACCTTGTTTGAAAATGCTTTGTGACTGTGAAGTTTATTTAAAGTTTAAATGATTTTCTTTCTTCAAACATATTATTGGATTAAGATCACAATATTATGTATTAGTAATGTAAATTCCACAATTATCATCCATCAGATGTTTACTGTGGTGCGTCGTTGCAAAAAAGCATCCTTATCCACGAAAAGACGGTAACGCCAGTGAACTGAGTTACTACAAACAGTTCGAGAGTGAGGTGAAGGAGGATGGCATAATATGGCCAATCACCATGCAGCAGATTGGGAAATTCGAGCGGATGAACAAGTTAGTCTATCACATTATTTTAATCATAAATTTAATTCTTTGAATTTTCCTATGCTTATTTTCATATGTTAAGTTTAGTTTCAGAAATCATAAGTTGACCTATATCCAACACGATTGCATTTTCAGTGTAAGGATAAATGTGACCGCCTATGATGACTGCAAGGAGGCAGCAGGCGAGCCATATTATCCAGTACGAGTTTCACCGATAGATGACCCTACGCTACCCACGGCGCACAGTCAATGTGATGGTATTAACTAACGGTGATACCACACACTTTGTGCTAATCAAATCGCTGAATGTCCTGCTGATGAAGGGGAGGAATTCAAAACATCATTGTCAGAGGTAATTTTTTTTTTTTTTTAAATAAATTAAATTTCTAAAAATAAAAAATAAAAATATTTTTAAAATAATAAAAAATGATGTTATATCCATAATTGCTTTTACTTCACACTAACAAAATATATTCAAATATTCATTTACATTACAGGTGTTTTCATGGTTTTAAACAACTAAGCAACCTCATCAAACATGAGGAGAGCTGCATTCGGTTTAAGCCGCAGGGAATCAAATTCCCTGTTGAGGATGTACTCTATTTCAAGGGTTATGATAAGATGGTACAGTCGCCTGTATACATAGTGGCAGGTAACAGAATCACAAAATTTATAATGTAGATCGCAACTTTTTTTCAGTTAGATAAACTTATTAATGTTTATAAAGTGATACTATAAATTGATTCTGTCCAATTCAATTATATACTAACCCCATACATTTTCTAGATTTCGAGTCATACATCAAGCCAATGGAGCAAACGGGTGACTCAAATGTACAGGTTTGGATACTAGTAATACTTTTATAAATGTTGTAAATAGTCATTAAGGTGTCTATGGATTTTTTAATAGATGTAGAAACAAGGTTAATATTTGATGATCTTATATTATAATTCATTCAGGCAACTAAAAAGGTTAAGGAACATGAAGCTTGTGGGTTTGCGTACAAGGTGGTAACCCCATTTGAGTCATACCAACAATCTGTAGTTGTGTACAGAGATGACGGAAGAGGTGGTGTGGCGAATGTATTTGTGGCCATGATGTACGAGGAATGCGATCGCTTACACGATCTAATCTGGGCAGAGGAGTCCATGATTCCTCTGACAGATGATGAGAAGCAGGCATTTGCTTCAAGCAGATCATGTTATCTTTGTCACCAACTCCTTGTCGATAAGGATAAAGTCAGAGATCATTGCCACTATACGTAAGTGAAATACCACACTTATTATTAATATCCTTTTTCTTAGTTTTTATTTTATTTAAAATTTTTTGAAACCTTCAGGATATCACCAAACTCATTAGATTTATAAAGTTATTTTATATTTTCAGGGGGAAGTATTTCGGAGCTGCACATAGTCTGTGTAATATGAAAAGGGAGACGGATAAACATCTAACAATTGTCTTCCATAATTTTAAGGTAATTCTACTATATAAATCAATCAAAATAGAGACAATGATGGGATTTAAATTCACACTTCATATTAACACAATTATTGTTATATCCCTAAATTCATATTTTTTTAACAGGGCTATGATGTGCACTCTGTAATCAAAGCACTCGGAAACATGGAGGATGATCTATGTAACATCAAAATCATCCCAAATAACATCGAGAAATACGCATCAGTATCAACGAGAAAGTTTAGGTTTGTCTCAATACTTTTCATTTATATGACGAAATATGAAATAATAGCTGTGAATTAATCTTTAAATCTATATTCTTGCTGATGAAAATATATTTAAACTTGTATATTTCAGATTTATAGACTCACTACAACATCTGTCAACTTCTCTTGACTCTCTGACGAAGAACCTGGTCACAAGAGGTCTGGATAATCTTAAACACACCAAAGATTATAAAGATGCTCACCACGAAGGGAGTCAGGAGAAGTTTGAACTTCTAACAAGGAAAGGGGTCTACCCCTACTCTTATGTGGATGAGGCTGCAAAGTTTAATGAAGGTTTGTTTAACTTACTGTAACATTGATTTATTAAATTACAGACTTTATATATGCACATCAAAGTTATTCCCATTCCTCCAAAACCAGTTTTATACACAATACATGATTAGCTAACAGAGATAAATGTTATCAGGACTCCCTACACAAGCTGCCTTCAAGAATGAGCTTACTGGAGATGGACTCTCCAATGAAGACTATCAACATGTTGAAACAGTTTGGGACACCTTTGGGATGAACACGTTGGGGGATCTTCATGACTTTTATTTGATTCGAATATCTGTTGAGGATTAAATGTATGGAATAGTAAAATTGTCAAAGAATCACGAGATTATTATAAACTGTTATCTCATAATTTTAATTTTTTGGCATACATATCCCTCCCGTCACTTACTTTTGATGCATGTCTGAAATTATCCAAGAAAATACTCCAGATTGTAAAGGACGTTGATATGCTCCAGATGCTTGAGTCTGGCATTAGAGATTTGTGTAATTATCTTGAGAATTTCAAACTTTTTAATATAGTTCAACGAAATCTTTGATTGTAATGATATAACAGAGGAAAAATTAGGTGAATAATTTTAACATTTTTTTCTAATCATCAGGTGGTATCATTTTCACACCGTCATGCTGTAGCAAACAACCCACAGATGACTAACAATGATCCAGCTAAAGAAGAATCACATCTGCTGTACATTGACGCAAACGTTAGTATATTTCATTCTTTTTTTAAGAGCCATGATTTATTTAATTTTTTATTAGAACTAATACTAATTAACACTCTATAATCATGATAAATAGAATAAACAACCTTTCAGAACCTGTACGGATATGCTATGTCGGAACCCGTACCGATTGATCAGTTTGAGTGGGTAGAGGACGATATTGCTACCAACTGGACCACAGAGGATATCATGGCTCTTAATCCAAACGGTAGACAGTGCTATATTTTCGAGGTCGATCTTGAGATCCCTCAAGACGTTCACGACCATACCAGTGACTACCCACTTTGCCCAGAAAGATTGGAAATCAACAAAGACATGATTTCTCCCAAATCATGGTTAGTTCTTGAAGTTTTATTACATCTAGAGTGGGGATAAGTTATATAAGTTAATCAAATTATCAATAGTAACATTTTAGGGAACTCATGATCTACACAAACATCTTTATTCATCACCTACTATTTGTTTCAGGGAGGTAAGAGTTCAAAGGGGGTGCGGCAATGATTTCAGCTCGACTAAGCTTGCTCCAAATTTCTTCCCGAAGACGGCATATGTTATTCACCTTAGAAACCTGCAGTTCTATCTGAGTCAATGAAACATGAAACAAAAGTGTCAAGTCAAGGTGTTGTGCTCACAAACGTATGTCGAGCAATTCGGTTTCGGCAAGAAGCTTGGATTGCTCCATACATAGCAGAAAATACTAGACTCAGACAGGCTGCGGTCGACAAGTTTGAAAAGGACTACTATAAGCTCCTTAACAATGCCCTCTTTGGGAAGACTATGAAGAATGTGAGGAAGAGAGTAAAGATTGTGCTTGTCAACAAGGGAAGGAGCCATGCCTGGCAAACCTCCAAACCCACGTTTAAGAGATTCGAAATCTTTGATGAGAATCTCGTGGGGGTGGAGGTAGCACAAACAACCATTACCTTGGACAAGCCAATCTTTGTTGGCTTCACTGTCCTAGAGCTGTCAAAACTGCTCATGTACAAGTTTCACTAATGAAACCAAACTTCCCAGAAGCAGTGCTCTGTTTTACAGACACTGACTCATTCCTCTACCACATCAAATGTACAAATTTGTACAGTGAACACTTGGTCAGGTTGAAGAGTTATTTTGACTTTTCAAGCCTAGCGGAAGATCACCCGCTGTTCTCAAATGAGAATAAAGCAGTTATTGGCAAATTCAAGGATGAGGCTGAGGGGTGGATTATCATAATATCATCAAAAAGTGGACTTAATTAAAATACAAACTTCGGCGTCTGTTCAGGTACAAACAGACAGACTGGCCTATCACAAAAACATGGTGTCATTCACCAATGATAAAATACCAGGGCCGGTCAAACTACCTCAAGACTTTACCCTCAACCTAGAGCTTATTGTCACACAAGCTGGAAAAATGGCAGGAAGAAGGGAGTACCTGAGCTGCAGCTGGCCACAAGATTTGCGTCATTACTGGGGCAAGGATTTAGCGCTATAGACTCATTACATGGGTCACAACATGTTTCTCAAATAGCAACGACCCAGAGGAGGAACTGGCGATTCTTCATTAACCCGATTAGGACTACCCTAAAATTCCTAGTGTTTAACATCGAACAACCCGAGTATATACCTGACTACGCCTACCCACGAGCTGCTAGTATCCCTAATACAAAGCCACGAACATGAGAGTCACGATAACCACCGCTGTCTGCTTCAAAAGTTCAAATTGAGACCATGCGTTATAGCATCCGGGACAGAATGATGAGACGTCGTGCAAGAAATAACGAGGGATAAAATGTAAGTATCATTGTTCTTCATTATATACATTATATGATTATTTGTTATTATTGACTTTTCACAAATAAAATTGTCAGTAACATCCATCCTCGGATCACTTGGGGCTCTTGATAACAACTTTATTAATTGCATCTTCAAAATATCTCAGGTTAGAGTAACGTACATGATGGACAGGTCGTTCAGGAAACTGGTGAAGATCGAGCTAGCAACCCTCGACAGTTGTACACGGTGAAAGCTCTGAGGAAAGAGTACGTCCCGCTGGCTAGCCGATTTGCCCATCTATTCGGGCAAGGGTTTACACAAATAGACTCATTACACGGATCACATTATTTATCTAAGACGGCGATGACACAAAGGAGGAATCCGTTGCAATTGGATGAGGCCAATTGCAACGGATTCACTTACGGTATCTATTGTAACGATAAGTATGTTCCTCCTTTAGCTTTGGATATATGTGATGGTACAGAGGTCTGTGATGATGGCATGGATGAGTCAAACTGTTACAGACGAAACTGAGTATAAATGTGAAATCTTCCTGGGATCTACTTTTGTACCGGTCCATAACTATACCCGGTGCCGGGTGCGGAGTATTGAACACAGACGAAGGAGAAAAGGTTAGACCTTACTGCAGTGAGTTCAAGAAATATCAAACAAATTGCACTGATTCGGCGAAGGTTGGGGCAACTTGTAAAGTAGATGAATACCTGTCCACAGTTTCAAAATATATGATTTGCTCTCATGCATATACAGTTCGGTAATCTGAAGATTTGTGATGATCGTATTGAAAGGCTGTGTTTTACTATCTCACCATCTTGTTACAAACACAAACACAACATGTGTGATGGATTATACGATTGTGATGACCAAGCAGAATCGAATCCAATTTGTTTGAGTCAAACGACATCTACCTGTACTAGGAAAGTTGGAAAACAATCCAACACTGCCCCTGGCCTGGCTGTTAGACGGTATTGAGGACTGTCTTGACGGGAGTGATGAACAAGCAATCTGGCCAACATGCGGGAAGGACAGATCATATAGATTAGTTACCAATAATGATACTTGTCATTGGGGAGATCCAGGCAATGTGGAATTGGATGATCTTTGTGATGGACTGGAAACTTGTGGAAATGAGAATAAAATGTGCTCGCTGTCCCGTAGTCCCGTAAATTACCACTTCTGTTCTGAGCTCAAAGCACGGTCTCTACATGCAGCTGACATTCTGTCTCAAAGGACTCAGAAGTATTAAAATTCTCAGAAGTGTTAATTGTACAAGTGAGCTGTTTATATTCCCCGACCACGAGTACTTTGGGGTGGACACTTAAACTGAGCTGCTTGAACTGCCAAATGATATTGTGCAAAACTGTGGTCATCTGTTTGGAGGACAGTACGTTTTCACCAGCTGCACCAATGAAGATTTGGTTTTGCAGGAGATTTTCGGTGGGGCTCTTCAAATTTAATGACTGAAGTCAGCTCAAAATTACCTCAATAAAAAGACATAATATCTATTATTTTAGTATGCTAGCTCACCACAATAAATAGTGTCGGGGCGAAGTCTTTCTTTTTGTTACAAGAATTGCAAGTAGTCCTTGTGATTCCATTGCCAACATATCGTCCAATCTGATAAATTAAGGTCCATTATTCAAGGTTTTATACAGAAATTCTAATTCCTTGCATAGAGATTAGTGATGAACAGATCAGTCTAAAATTAATTTTCTGAACAATCCGCTTCACCACAAGAAACAATGTTAGGTTAATGATATGTTGATAACAAAACCCATTAAACTGTCATATAACTAAGTTTTATTACCTCACTAAAGAGTCGCTGAGCAGGAAGAGGGGCGGATTCAGCAAGGTGAACAATGTTAGGCTTACCACCTTCCAATATCAAGGTGTTGTTTGTATCTGTAAACTCCAACTCCGCTGGGAAAATCCTTTGTTAATATATAATTATGTTATAATGGCATGTGCATTGTTCATGAATAATGATCCATTGGCCCACTCCGCTTTGTTGATGAACTGCTTTAAATCACAAATTAATTGTTCACTGTAAATTTCAGCATGAATTTTGGTTGACTGATATTATTAAAATGTCTATAATTATATTCAATCCAAACAGGTGCAGTTTGGACTATAATTATAGCATTACCTAATTGAAAGTTGTCCTTGCCAATAGTTGATATTCTTTCTCCAGAAGTATCCACCAAGATGTCACTACCTCCAGCGAGGAATTGGTCAGAGAGAAAAGTCTGAAGATTAGCCAAGTCGTGTGGTAAAACACGAAGTAGGTCAGATTTGTATCCAAGTACTATAGAGCTATCAAGATAGGGAAACTTCCTGAAAAAGAACTTCAGATTATACAAATTTTGTTTTCCTTTCAAATCATATTATATATATATAAATTGAATAGCTATAAAGTACATTATTATATAATACATTGTTCTAAAATTTTATAGAAGTGTATCTTGCAAGTTCTTTAGATATATAATAAACATTGACTCTTAATATTAGTTATAACGATACAGTTTTCACAATACCAATGGAGTATAAACTTTTTTTGTTTTTACAATTACTTACCCCTTCTTGAGCTGACCATCGTACTTATCACAGGAACTTGTACACACATTGGATCCAGCAGTAATTATCTGGCCCTTCTCGACAGCAACTTGGTTACTGTTGAGTAGCGTCAGCCGCTGACCTCCGTAAAGTACAATTATATCTTCATCCTCCACGTCTGAAACATCAACATTACAGTGTTATATGCTAGGCGTGCTTCGTTACTGCAACTGTGTGTTTCAGTTAGATGTTGTATCGTGTGATAAACATAGCAAGTGTTCAAGTAGCATAGGTAAGTTTCATACAGTCTAAGGATGATTAGGATCATCAAACCAAATATGATAAGGGCATACGAATCAAACATGGGTGACTAGTCCAAACGATTCAAACCATTAAAACTATTTAACTACTGTTCAAACCTTGAAGAAGAAGTTGGACATCCTCGCCAATCAGATGAGGTATCCCAAAATTGAATGCAGAATCTTGGAGAAGGGTGTGATCTAATGTTTCTGGACTCCAATTTATGATGGAGATTGTGATTACACAAGGCAGTGCCATGAGAATCACTGTCAGCTTTAACATGTCCAACTTTATCATATCTAAATAGAAGTTTTTAGATAAAATAGTATAAGTATTGCTGTAGCACAAGATAGCAGATATATGCATACCAAATAATGCATCGGTCAGGGTCCTTGTCCATTATTCATCCGTTTGTCCAAGACTGTGGGGCAAAGCCTTGTTTAATATCTTATTTTGCTTTACTGAACTCACAGTTCCATGGGTTTATTGATGTACATATTAATTGGGCTTAGTAATAAGTAAAACAAAATTTTAAGTAAAACAAAATTTAAATTTTATTACCATTACAATGAATAATGATATCATAATAAATATAAGTAGACATCCGATAATAAACTTGTTACATCCAGTACAACCCAAGATGTCAGCCGACGCGACTTACAAAAATAATACCCCAAAATTTCTCATGCTAGATGTCAAATACTGGACATAGGGAAGGTGCAACTTCAACTTTTCTATTGCTGCAATGTTAACAGCATGTATGTCATGCTCTAGATATTTGACGTTTGTGATTGAAATGCTGATTTCAGGAAATAGCTTCGAAGTTTTTAGCCTTCTGATAACAGGACTATTGATTGAACAAGTTCGTGATAACCTCACAACAAGCACCTACACCAGAAGACTAATCAGTTTGTATGATCTGTCCATTTGATACCTTTTAGACCATTTGATCCCCTTTTTGAACGTTGGATACTTTTTTGGTCGTATGACTACGTTATCTATATCAGTTCTGAGAACATTTTACACCCTTTGTTATTACAAACCAACAAATTTTTACATGAAACTTATTAACTAAAATTCGAATTCAAATTAAAATCGTGCAATTAGGATAGGCTTTAGTTAAAGTAATTGACGGTCTTAATTATGAATTATAATAAAGCTTTATAGTTTAAATTTATTTTTGTTTGAAGGAAAGTTGAACTCATGTAAATGTTTTCACATGACCATGAGTCTTCGCGTATTCATACGTTGTACGTGCAGATTAGTGATTAGACTCGTTTGTTTCGGCGGGCGCGCTACTGTAAAGTTTGATTGACGATGTCAACCCTTCCAGATCTGAGATCGTTGCTTTGCAAATTAACACTAACAGAGCAACGATCTATTCAGATGCGAAGCAAGAATGCTTGTTTGCGCGGCGCATCGAAGCGGCGAAGTTCTCTAACTGCATGTAAAGTGCTTACCTGGGGACCTCAGGCTATCATGTTCATAAACACGATAGACATTAAGCGGAATGACAGGCTGAACGCGGCCCAGTAAGTAAAGTGCAAGCGCGAGGGCTTTTATTTGGTTAGAATAATAAATGTTGTTTGGAAAATGTACATGAGAAAAAGGTGTACTACATACTAGAGAACACACGATTGCGATTATATATAATACGAACAATGGATATAATTGTGAGCTGGTCTGAGTTAGAGGTAGAGCACGATAACAATTTGATTCACGATGTCAATCCTTCGCATCTCGCCGCTCTGTGGTTGGAGGACTTCGCCGCTTCGACGCGCCGCGCGAACTAGCATTCTTGCTTCCCATCGTCGATCGTTGCTCTGCTTCGCAGAGCAACGATCTCGATGGGTTGACATCGTCAACCAACTCTGTAGTTGCGAGAAGCATTATTGAATGCGCGCGCGGCCCAGTAGTGCATCGCGCTACAAGATACAATTGACCCTTGTTATTGTTAATGGTCTGGACCGGCGGAGCAACATTTCGAGAAGAAAGCGGCGCGCGCGCTACTTCGAAAGAATTTAGACACGTAACATCCGTCAAAATAACAATGTTGCACGAAGTTGAATTGACGGATGTTACTCGTCTAAATTTCTTCGAAGTAGCGCGCGCCGCATTCTTCTCGATGGCCGCTTTCTTCTCGATGGCACGAGCTACGAAGCGCCGGGCCAGATCATTAACAATGGTAAAGAATCTGAAGTGATATTTTTTACAATTTCAAGTTTTTGCACATAATTCTTCCAATTATAATATTGAGTATTGAATAAAACTATTAAATACGGTTTTAAAAAGCTCATTCATTATAATATATTTATGCATTTATAGTTCAAATGCAACTGAAATATTGTAGGTTTACAACCTACCAGGACGCGCGCCGAGTTGAACTCGTCGACGGTCCTAATAATTGGAACAAATATTTTACGAGTATCACCCGTTAACTGAAATATTGATAATTGATACAAAACATCAATTTATAAGCTATAACTTTAACAGCTAAACATTCAACTTAACAATTAACTGTACTACATATATTACTATGAAGAATAATCAGATCAGTGCAACCAATCGATAGAACCTTTATCACGGAAATTTGGACGGCCGTTACATGTATATATAATGAGGATATATTGTAGCGCGATGCACTACTGGGTCGCGCGCGCATCAAATAATGCTTCTCGCAACCTTCGGTAGATCGGCGAGATGCACCACTGTGCCTCACCGAGCTGCGAAGGATTGACATCGTGAATCAAGAGGATATAATAATAATAGTGAGAGGACAATTATAGTGAGAGGCTTAAATAAGAAATAACTACAAATTTAAACGCTTTTAGTTTTGGTCAACCAAGGTTTTTGATATTAATAATGTTTCGCTGCATTTTTAGTCATAGTGTTTAGTGAAAGTTGAAACTGATAGAAATGAACTTAACCGTCATTTTCAATTTTGAGGTCCTCGAATGATTGTATTGATAATGATTATTTTCAGTCGTACAGATAATTTAAATACTTTAACTCTTGATATCAAATATATACATTGATATTATCAATATCCTCTGATTTATACATCACATAATTTGAATAAGTAAATAAACATTTCTACAGTACACAAAACGGCCGTAAGACCTACAATATGCGGGTTCCGTTTAGATTTAGAGAACTTTTCAAAAAGTAATAAAATTTTACCTTTGACATGTGCAAGTCTAATTTACTACATGTAATTCAATGTTTTTGGCCATTTAGATCGAGCGTTAATGGTTAAACTTAAGATAGTGGCACTGGACACAGTTTTATAATGGCAATTTTTCAGTAAAAGTTGCACTTGCATTAGGTTTTTAGACAACCTAAGAATAAGATAAGCTAAGGGGAATTAACTATAACATTAAGATCTAAAAACTAAATTTTCCACCCCGAAAAAATTCGCATTGTCGAGGTTTCGGTGGGTAAAAAAACAAGTATTAATTAATTAAAAGATCTGCGAGAAAACATATTTTAGAGTTAAAAAGAAATTCAAAGTCAGAGTTTGGGAAAGTGAAACTGAAGTTCTGCAGTAGCAGGACCTTGGCGGTTGACAGGTGATAACGGTTGCTGCTGCTGCTTTTTCCTTCTCTGTCTTCTTCTGCCTTGAACTGGACTGGTCTTGGCTTGTTGCACATTTACTACCGGTCTGAAATGTGTGGATTTTAATGTTGTATTTAATATCATTATTTTACACAGCACAACAATTATAGATGTAATGAATTTTACGTTCATGGTTGTTTACTAACGTAACAAGATAATAGAATGCTCACCGCTGGTGCGAAGGAAAATTAGTCATTTCCCCAAACATGTTAACATTAGACATCTTTATATGTCGTCTAGTTTGGTTTACTGCGCTAATAAACTTGTTACTTGATGATAACTGAAAGTGAAACAGCTGCTTTAGCTTACATGTATTTCATACCCAAAGGGCCTTATCACAAGAATTTTCTTAAAATTTGGGCGAGCGATTTAGTAGGAGCGAGTTTAAATATATCAACAGTCAATTCGGATTGGGAACATACAGATCTTAATCTAACTGTATCTCAAAAAAGTTTTTATATTCAAGAATTTAACCCAAGCTTCTAGATTAAGAAACAAAAATTGGCAAATGAATACCTGACGATTTGGTCCGACATCACGGTTTGACTGAATAGCGTCTGAAATTGTTCGGAGATTAATGATGTAGAACCTAGTACAGTAATTAAACGCGTGTATACTGATTTCATCAGAATTACTAATGATTTTAAAAGATGAAAGAGTTTTTAACTAACTCTTGATATTGTTCCGAACAGTGCTTATCAGTTGTTTGGTCCGTTTGTTCTGCACTTCAAAATCGTTGTTTTGCTGGGCTATGAGAGCTGTTATCAGCTTGTTCTGCTCATCCACACCGTCATCCTTCTTACGCTGAACGTGTGTCATGGGTTTTACACCAAACACTAAATTTTAATCACGACCAATTATTTTAACAATCATTTTCCTATTTTAAATATTATTCTCGTGCAGTTGGAGGTTTACCCTCAGTTGGAAGTTTACCCTCAGTTGGAGGTTAACTCCCAGTTGGAGGTTAACTCCCAGTTGGAGGTTTACCCTCAGTTGGAGGTTTACCCTCAGTTGGAGGTTAACCCTCAGTTGGAGGTTTACCCTCAGTTGGAAGTTAACTCCCAGTTGGAGGTTTACCCTCAGTTGGAGGTTTACCCTCAGTTGGAAGTTAACCCTCAGTTGGAGGTTTACCCTCAGTTGGAAGTTTACCCTCAGTTGGAGGTTTACCCTCAGTTGGAGGTTTACCCTCAGTTGGAGGTTTACCCTCAGTTGGAGGTTAACCCTCAGTTGGAGGTTAACTCCCAGTTGGAGGTTTACCCTCAGTTGGAGGTTTACCCTCAGTTGGAGGTTTACCCTCAGTTGGAAGTTTACCCTCAGTTGGAGGTTTACCCTCAGTTGGAGGTTAACTCTCAGTTGGAGGTTTACCCTCAGTTGGAGGTTTACCCTCAGTTGGAGGTTAACTCTCAGTTGGAGGTTTACCCTCAGTTCGAGGTTTACCCTCAGTTGGAGGTTAACTCTCAGTTGGAGGTTTACCCTCAGTTGGAAGTTTACCCTCAGTTGGAGGTTTACCCTCAGTTGGAGGTTAACTCTCAGTTGGAGGTTTACCCTCAGTTGGAGGTTTACCCTCAGTTGGAGGTTTACCCTCAGTTCCCTACCTCGTCGTCTATGTTGAAACGTTTGCGGTGACTCTTGTAATTGTGTTTGTAATTGTGAGCTTGACTCTGAGGTGATATGTAATGGTACTTACAGAATATTAACAAAACTTCATTACTAAGAACTAAGGTTTTAGTGAGTTACAGTTCAGACACCAAGATGGGTATTTACCTGGGTGTGATCATTCTCTTCAGCAGTCATTTCATTGCTTGTAGAATTCCTGAAGATTGGTAATAACATGATTGATTACCAAATAAAGTTCAATAAAACGGTTTCAACAAAAAACTAAAACAAATTCAGAAGAAAAAGAATGAATATTTTGTACTGAGTGCAGTTTGGGAGGCTCCCCGGTTCCAGCGTTATTCTAGACATCAAAAGTATTTAGAGGCTTTAAAATCATTCCATTCATGCATGACGTTATATTAATGCCATTAAGCTCAAAATCCCATTTACTTAAAGTCAAACAACAAGCAATAATCTAAATTATTCTCTTTAATTTAGAATCAAGTCTGGCCGACATCAGAGATACTGCAGTTTGTGAAAAGGAATCTTATCAGTCATCATGTAGCTAAATTAACCGAGCAGTGAGCACCAGTAATAGTGGTATAAATCTGGTCCAAGTCCAACAGAAGCTTCCTATCAACAACGCAGGGGCTCATTAATTAACTAAATACTGGGACACCTTCCCTGTTTAAACAATAGTTACTCAACTGTTGGGTCAACATATCCTTTTGACGATAAAATATTGCAATTACATTTACGGTACATAAATGCGAGTGTTTAAGAGTGATGTTTAACTGTTTAAAGGACTTTCCTGGTATTTATAGGTAACATACTCGATTGTCTATAAGGTTAAGTCTCACCTGGGGTCCGAGTCGAAGAGGAGGATGTCATTAAGAGAGCGGATAGGATTCGTCTCATCGCTGTCATGACGCGGTCGTCTCGGACGATCTTTGTAGGTTTGATCTTGGGGTTCGTTCTGTTTAGAAGTGGTTCTTGTTCCGTGAGACTTGCGAGCAACAGAGTTAGTATCTTTATGAGCTGGCTTTTGAGGACCGGAGCCTTTGGGTAGGTTTACGTTATCAAATGAGAGCTGAACTTGAGGAATAAGTTCTTCAGCGACAACTTTTTGAGGAATATTTTGTGGGGCCTCTTTTTCTGGTGGCTGATCTTGATAGGCCTGGTTTGCTAGGCGCTGATTTTGAGGACCAAGATGTTCAGGAATGCAATCGAGTGAAAATTGAACTTGAGAGGGATGCTTTTGAAGTGGTTGATTTTTAATTTGGTGGTCAATGTCCTGCTGACTTGGGATTGAAGTAGTAAGATTCGATCAGATGTTTGAGGAGTGTTATCATGTGATGTAACAGCAGGGTGACCATGAGATGGTTTGTCATGTGATGACGGGTCTAAAACGGTGATATTCTTATGGGGTGAGCTTGGTGGATCATTATCTTGAGTTGTTTTGACGTTGAGTGAGGTCGTCGATTCCGACTGAGAGGTCGTGTCGATCGAACCAATGGAGGAGAGTGAAGTAATTCCCATCTTTTGATTTGATTCACTCGAAAAGGAAGTATACGAAGTGGTATCTGATGATTTCGAGTCAGCGTCAAGAGATTTCGACTCCGTTTTAGCATCCTCATTATTTTCAGTTCCAGGCACATCCGGCTGGGAAACCTGGTACTCAGCAACCAGCCCAGTCCCAGAGTCTTCCTGCACCGAGTCTTCTAGATTTAATAAGGCGTGGTTATATGTTTTGCTCGCGAAATATTGCGACAAATTCTCGTCAGGTTTCACATCACATTTGTTTTGAGACGATGAAGTTACAACAGCTTCGCCACCTTCAGGCTTAGCTTCATACGACGTCACATAATCAACAAGAAAGTTTACTGAATCTTTATGGTTATCGTTATCAAGAGAAATAGCAGTATCAGAGGTTTCAGCCACAATCTCGGGGTCAAAAGATTTCACCCGAGCGGTCACAACATTTGGAACATACACAGATTGAGTTTCTTCTGGGTTTATCAGAGAACCTGTCTCTGCAGTATTAACCCGAACATTATCATCAAACGTTACAGATTTACTTGGAGGCACAAGAGCGGACAAGGATTTGGCAGCCAGAGATCTGGGGTCTGGTTTTTCACCTGGTTTGATGGATGAAGTACTTTGTTGAACTGACGAGAGCGAGCTTTCCGAGGTGTTGGGTGGGACCTTGGTTTTAGTAACAACAACCTCGGATATCCCCATTGGGGCAGCAGAGCTCGGTGGAGAGGTATCAAGGGTGATTGTCGAGGATACCTCTTCAATCGTCGACAATCCTTTCTTTAGGTTGTCTTCTGGTGCAGGTTTTCGAGGTAATGTCGATTTTTTGTCATCATTGGAGGTTTGCTTCTTGTTAGTAGTGAAACGATCTGATTTCTTTTTCGGCCTGATGATCTCTCGGGTGTCTGAAACGGGCTGTTAGAATGTTAGAATGTTAGAACGTTAGAATGTTATAATGGTAGAATGTTAGATCAATCATCAAAACCAACTCTTATTATATTCAATTGACACGAAAAGATTTATATTTCATTGCATTTGAGTGAATTAAATCACTAATCATTTGACACACGAATCAACAGAGCAATGTTTGAAAAGTTGCTTCAAGCATGACATACCGATGAAATGAAAGATTGAAAGGGGGCTCAATCTGAATGATTTTCGTTAACCAAGTTTTGTTTCACACCCGTTTTTCGTATTAGAGGTTAAACGAAGGCCAATAGCATAACCATGATAACATTGATCATTCCGACGACAATTTATGATTGAGAAAAGTAAAATAAAATAAATCATGAGATAAGATATAAGATTACATTCACATTTGGAAAAGATTGAAATAAAGTCCTTGCATTGTTTAAAACTGAATGGTACCATAACCCCTAGCACCCCTAGCACCCCCACCCCCTCTACCTCCTCTACCTCCTCTACCCATCCCCCCTCCATTCCCCCTCCCTCGGCCACCTCCAAACACTGGTCCCCCTGACCCTAGCTGTCCTCCTCTACCACCTCGTCCATTGCCCATGTTCATGTTCACATTGTTCATGCCAGGGCGACCAGGACCGCGTCTAGCTGAACCTCTTCTTTTGGCAGGACTAACACTCCCAGATCCACCAGATCCTTCATCTCCACCAAGAGTGAGCTGGAACATGGAGGAGTTACCCCCCATGGGAAGGGGAGATTTGTCAGGGACTGGAGAGTTGTACCTGCTCACCCCGCTCTCCGGTCTACGGCCCCTACTCCGAACACTGTCAGGTCTCCTCAGCCTGCTCAGAGGAGGCAGTGGAGAGTCTCCCATGGAATTTTGTCTGATCTGTCCATAGCAGGATTCTTCTTCAGAGCCATTAAATCGTCTATTAGTTTCTTCTGTTCCTCAATCGTGTGCTCGTGGGCGGTTCTGATTTTGTTTTGAGCTGCCAACTCTTTTGTTAAAGCACCCAGTCTGTTGCTAGTGTTATCTGGGTCTGACTTTGACTGGTTGTAAAGTCTTTTCAAGTCCAGGACAACTTTGTGCCGGTACCGTCTCACAGTCGAGCAGATCGCTTCACTCGACTTGACCGGGTTGGCTATTTTATCGCTCACTGTAGAGAGTTTGTTGTTGAGAAGGTCTATGAGTTTCTCCTGGGCAGGAAGATCGAGGTCTCTCATGATTGCCAGCCACTCCTCTTTGAACTGCAATGCAGATGGTCAATGACTAAACTCTCAATTGTGCTTGATGGGCTTTTTTAAAGTTCACACCACTGATAGCGTTCGTTTGTTAGCATGGTAATAGTGCAGATCCTCATCCGATAATATAGAGGTAAGCTTCAGTTCAAAGGAATTGGCACAGGGTTTAAAGCTATGACTTAGGTGTCTTGCTTCGAGGGACAGAAGATGTTTTAGAGGATGAGTGTGCTGTTTTACTTCGTCCGTATCTCTTTCTGAAAACCTAGAAGCAAGAGGTCAGACTAAGAACATTCAGCATGGTTCAGCTTCAGCACGCAGGAAAGCCCCATTTATGAGAGGCTACTTCGTTCCACAAATAGATTAAAGGACTTTTCACCGTGGTAATTGGATGAAACTAACCACTACCAGCGTTTAAAAAACTCCCGCGCAAAATTATGCATGATTCATGCTTTTTAAGAGTTAAAAGAGGGACCATTGAATGAATGAGAAGTTAAATATCATGCTTGAAGAATGAAGGTCATGCTATCTATTTTAGACATATACACGCATAATCACATTTAAAATGAAAGAAAGTTTAAAGGCTGTGAGAAAAGGGTGTTGGTGTACCTACAGCGACACAGATATATTGAATATGGAATCGATACAGTAATTAAATTCACATCAAAACATAAAATTCAAAAAATGGATCGAATAACTAACAAGATATATTATAAAGGAGTATTTGACCACCTACCTTCGCCACCTCCGGAGTGGGTGTTCTATGTTTCTCAGGTTCGGGGAGTTCTCCCTCAGATTCAGTACCAGAAGCCCCGCCACCGTTCTTCTGTACCACTGAAAACAAACTACGCTCAGAGGATGGAGGAGACTAGAAAAGCAGCTGGGATGTGTCCGAGTGCATTTTTAGGGGTTATCTTAAATAATGCTATGACTGATTGGTGAGATGCTAAAATTCAAAACGACCAGATCGGCACAGATAGGGACATTCCGAGGCTAAATTTTCAGCTGAATGTTCAGCTGCTGAATGTTGGCATTAAAATAAATTCAAAGCAGCGATCTTAGAAACATGCTTTCAGTTTTTAAAGTACATGCTTTAACAAAATATACATTGGACTCGTAATTTACAACGTTGAAACGTTTTTACTACTTAATAGAATATTGGCAATGCTTGTTGCTTTAGCGAGATTTCGAGAATGTCATTATTAGGTCAGCGTTTTTGTTGACCAGGCAAAAGGTTACGAACACCTTCTAACTCTAAGGAGACTTCAGCAAAACTTCTGCTTTTAAAAAAGGGACAGCGATATACAAGTCATAGCGTTTCAGCAACAAAACGCAAATATTACAACGAGATTTCATCAGAAGTTCACACCGAGAAGCTACAGGCTTTTAAGATGATGCTTAAATTGAGGATTCAGCTTGAACATTGAAGCGTAGCTAAACCTGCTCTAAGTTTATCGATATAGTCAGTGAGTTCCTCTTTTGCGTGGAAGTTTTTAGTAACCAGTTTAGCGTCGTGTCTGGCCGTGAACGCCAGATTCTCATCCTTCCAGCCTTTCAGTATTATGTTCCGTGATGTTGGGATCTCAAGATTAGCCACGAACGATGTTTGTTGGCCCAGGACGTGTCCAAACAACTCTTTCTTCAGTTTTTCAGGCAGGGCCATTTTGTTAACATCTTGATAATTTAGTTTCCAAAGTTCCAAAGGATTATAACCAGTGTCTTTCAGGAACTTTGCAAGTCTAGGTGATGCCTTTAAGTATTTAGCCATGTAGATAGCATCAAGAAGCTGATTAAGTTCCTCTTCATTCAGTCCCAGAGCGAGTATGTCCTTTTCTTCAAGCATTGAGATATCAGTTATACCGGCTGCTTTAAGTTTGGCTAATAAGGAACCGGACAAACATCCAGCAACATCAGGGTCGTCCAGATTATAAGCAGGACCCCCTCTTGAACCCAGGGTCAGCTTGTGGTCTACTTCTAGCCTTCGTAAATGTTCCTCCTCTTTCAGAGCTGCTTCGAGCGCCTTGAGCCTGGCCAGCTCAGCTTTGAGCCTGGCCTGCATTGCGTCTCGCTCAGCAAGAAGTTCCTCCTTCTCTTCACGACTTATGCCTTCATCATCTGAAACGACACTCATCTTTCAGACAAAGCGTCTGAGAAAACTACAATCTAAATTTGACGATTCGTTGAATATAGTGCTTATCAATAAGGCCCCTTTTTAATTATTTTTTCGATGTAATGTCATGTACTTAAATTTAAGTTTTAATTTTCTTAAGTATTGTGGTTTGTACTTAAATGGCCAAAGAGTTGAGGTGACATAAGACCGATAGATAACGGAAATTTTAAAATTGGAAATAACCATAAACTAAGTAAACTTGACCCGCAAAGCTTACAATTTCAGCAGCAGCTAACAATAAAAACCATGTAGCAGGGTCCCAAGTGTCCGATTGACTGGCACTACAATCTGTGACTACGTCTCCAGCTACGTCGTGGTTTATAGAACTAGAATTTGGCAACCTGCTCATTTTTCTAGCTTGAAATCTATAGCTAAAAGTTTGAATGTCATTATTTAATATTTCGTCAAGTTTACCACCATTTGTCCCGTCCCAGTGTCCCACTGCCTCTAGGTAAACCATGCCACTATAACTGATAAGGGATAAGGGATTGTGACGGCTGATTAGTTGAGTGTAGTAAGCGGTCGGGGAGTGGTCAACAAAGACCGACTCTGTTCAAGCCGTCTATTTATTTGTCCTGTTGTGGAGGATCTGACTTTACCTTTACTACCCGCCTTCTTCTTGGCTGGTTCACTCTCTATCACGTACTTGTCGGCTGTTACTACCCGCACCTAAAACAACAGATCATTAACATGAGCAAAGCATGTTAAACAAAGCATGTTAAACACCAACTTATATAAGAATAGAAACAACAGTTATGGTCTATCTGTATTTTTGTCGGTCACTGGTCGAACGAAACATCGGAGAGAACCCCAGATTTTACAAGTAGGGAAAATAGTTTCGAGTAAGAAAATAACAAAAATGCGAATTCTTACGTTAAAAGTGTAATTAGTGAGGGGTTCCAAGTTGCTCACTCTATACCCTTGTTCTTTTCCGCTGTAGATTACCTGTAAAAGGGTTTATATGAATATCAACGAATATTCGAGAACGATAGGTTTTACTAGTTTTTGCTAGCACATGATATCTTAACATTGAATTGTAAATGTCAAGCTGCAAGACCGACCTCGCCGTTCATAACCAGCTCGTAATGATCAATAGGACCAAGTTGTTTGGGAGGGTCTATCCAGGAGACATTAATCTCGTTAGCTCCTCCACTGGTTGACAGGATGGGCTTCTTAGGAGGATAGTCACCTGCAGAGAGAGAGAGAGGGATATCATTAACTATTGATAGGTTTAGACTTGATTGTGTGGTTCAATGACAACAATCACCATGACAACAATCACCATGATAGCTAAATACACTTAATACAGATATCTAGATACCAGCACCACCAAATTATGACTGACTGAGGTTAAGAGTAGAGCACATTATAGGAATACTCTTCTCTCCCTCTCCTGCTGCTGTAACTGGAGCTACTTGTATTGGTATTGAGGTACTGTGGGGCAAGTCTTTAACTACGTAACATAGTTTATCTATCCCAACTACACCCACTCTCTTCCCTGAAAGGTTAGGTGTGAGGGAATGTGATAGTTTGATCAAAGTTCGAACGATCAGCAAAGTAAAAACTATCAAACATTTTCTATCTGAAATCACTCATAATAATAAGGATTAATCCAAATGTTACCGTCAGAGTAGATATTATATCCAGTGAGGGTTCCATTGGGGTTTAGTGGGGGAGTCCAGCTTATTTTAATTGCGTTGTGTTGAGGTTTACCCTCATTGTTAACCTCTCCAGGAGGACCCGGTACTGCGGAGGTAAATGTCATCGTCAGTTTACAGTATAATCTTCACAAAATATGATTTGCTAGCCAAGGAAATTTTGAAGATCTTTGAATCAGAGTTCTGTAATTTGTAGTTTTATCACAGCATCCTGATTCCTATTTAATATTATGAAAAGTAACTGATTCTTACCTCCCTCATTAGTAGTGATGAGAGCAGGACCACTGTAGGGTCCCTCATCTGTAGCATTAATAGCTCTTATTCTGAATACGTAGGAGGTAAAGGGTTTCAGGTTCTTTACTGTAGTGTTAGTTTTGGTACCTTCGTATACACACGTGCAGCCTGGGGTTGAAAACAGTCAGTTCTCAGTGTAACAAACCAATTTCTTGATAAGGAAGTCAAATAAGTTTTGATCGCCCCTTTTATGTCGAGGTTCTTCGTACATTTTTTCATAAAATCTTAAATTTGTTATCGTCAAACCTTGAAAAAACTGATAGGAAACTCTGTTGCCCACAGTGGCAATTACCGACTCCCATCTAGCCGAAACAGAGAAACTATCAATGGTAGTCATGATTGGAGCAGGTAACTTAGGCAACTTTCCCAGGATATCAAGCGTCATCTTCACTTCGGTTAAAAGATCAGATTTTAGTGTGACGCCTCCGCCCTTTACTAGTTTCTTCAACACTGAGTGCACTGATTTGTGGTCTCGCAATCGAAATACTCCTTCTTTCTGAACAATCATGTGTTACTTCGATACTATTTACGGATGAAATAAAAACAGAAAATCCATCCACAATCTACGTTATACACATACGTTTGGGCTCGTGCCGTTTTATATACATTATTTATATATTATCGTGTATAATAACTCTTATCTGGACATTATGAAGTTGATTTGAAAAAGTAACATTAAAGAATGAAAAGTACCTGGCTACCAACAGAACGGAGAGTAACTGCAGCGAACCAGGCAGTCTCGTCATCAGGATCTGTAATCAGTCTGACTAACTGGTCTAAGATAAGCTCGCTGTTCACATTGCCTAGTAACCTGAGGGATATAAGATATTGCCTAGTAACCTGAGGGATATTGCCTAGTAACCTGAGGGATATTGCCTAGTAACCTGAGGGATATTGCCTAGTAACCTGAGGGATATTGCCTAGTAAGCTGAGGGATATTGCCTAGTAACCTGAGGGATATTGCCTAGTAACCTGAGGGATATTGCCTAGTAACCTGAGGGATATTGCCTAGTAACCTGAGGGATATTGCCTAGTAACCTGAGGGATATTGCCTAGTAACCTGAGGGATATTGCCTAGTAACCTGAGGGATATTGCCTAGTAACCTGAGGGATATTGCCTAGTAACCTGAGGGATATTGCCTAGTAACCTGAGGGATATTGCCTAGTAACCTGAGGGATATTGCCTAGTAACCTGAGGGATATTGCCTAGTAACCTGGGGGATATTGCCTAGTAACCTGAGGGATATTGCCTAGTAACCTGAGGGATATTGTGTCGCGATGTTCAGCTTCAAAGGTCACGATATTGAAATTTCGTATACTTTTAGAACAATTTAGCCCTCCTAATTCGGATGGTCTTCGATTCGAGGTTTCGCCTTTTTTTGTATTTAAAAAGTTCATAAAACTCAAATAATCTTATGAAGCTGAATATTATGAACCTGTCATGACCCTCCTTGCTGTTAGCTAGGCAGCTAAAAGCGAAACAAGCATTCTTTCTAGGTCCAGCTTCCTTGTTGTAGAGCATCTTGGTCAGGGCCGTCATCTGTCAAATGTAGAGGTTATATTTAACTACTAACAAGTACTTTAAACGAGAATAGGGTGATCGTTATCTACAGAGTATGTCAGTTGCAAACGATATGCTATTAATTAGCGCTTGCTTGCGCCTTGCTCACCGTGTTTTTGAAGTTTTTCATCGCTAAAAGTTTAGATCTGGCGTCTTCCCTCTCCAACAATCTGCCCACTGCAAACGCTGCGTTCATGCTGCTACCTGGAGGTACGGGAGAGATAATTGATCTCGTACTAATTACTAATTACTAATAAGTGGTGCATTCTGGTATGACTTGAGTAAGGACAATACTAATTACTATACTGGAGAAGAAGTTCCAGCTAATATAAGCCAATCTACATGTTCTATTCCATAGAGTATGAGTATTTGTTGTAGGTTAAAACGTGATTATTATCCAATAAAATTGTGTCCTTACTCTGGTGTTCTTAGAAAACACAAGATTATTCAATGAGAGTCAGTTCAAAGTTGCATCAGATTATGTTCTACAGTCCAGAAATACACAACAAGAAACAACAAGTTCATTCTCATTTACAAGACATGATGGATATGTTTCATGTTTCCATCTTACCTGGGTTATGACCACAAAGCGCAGTGCTCAGATTGATTAACACGTAGCTGCACCTTTCATGTGTTAGGATCTTCACTATTCCCTCTTGAGACAAGGTTAACCTGACAGTGAGGAGTGTAGGTAATTTTTACGTTGAAATTTGGGGATCCACCCTTTTTATGCTATTGTTTTAAATAATTTACGTATCTATGACCTTGACATAGATGGAGTGGACAAAGCACATGTGCGCGTCTCAGCTCAAAATTAATGTCACTGAAAGCAGTGACATCTGTTAAAAGAAACTTGTTCTATTTACAAATGATTCGGAAACGCGCGCTCCTGAAAGTTGCAAATTAGGTACATAATTGTTGGCAAAATTATCAGTAATAGAGATCTAGTATGTAACTCGAACTACAGTTTACCTTGCTAAAACAAGAGCAGAATTGCTAGCAGCCCATTGGTGGGGATCTACAGTTAAAACGCCCAATATTGGCAGAGCATCGTCGAATACAGCTTGTTGTAGTATCCACAGGCGCCCATCACACGATTCGGCCTGAGATAGTGAAGAGGTATATTAAGAAGTAAGCTGTTCAACCAGGCCAATTGTTAGACTGATTTTAGCTTCCAATCAATTGTAATGAAGTAAGTGGACTTGTTAAATGTAGACTTAATAAAATGATAAGTATGAATAAAACTCTTTCTATAGCTTGACCGATTCGTTAAATCGTTGCTTGCCACTCTCTCGATCATTTTATTGTAATTGTCATCTTCCATTGTGCGTTAAGTATAAAAGTGTCTATTCTTTTGTCAGTTAAAATGCAATCTTTTTATTTCTATGATTTAGCGAGTAGCTGAATATGGCATTTGCAGTGACAGTCCTTCTGTTACTGCCATATATGACAGTTTTCAAAACTATATAACTACGGTTGAATAAGTAATTTTCCCGGTCAAAATTGAACAAAATTGTTTTATAAAATTAGACCAAGACTTTCTCAGACCACAGTAAGAAAGGCTGGACCATGTTACTGTGGCGGCACCACTTCTCCGCATTCAACAAATAATGGCGTGCATTAAAACAACTAAGCATCAAAGCTTGCTAACCGAAATATTCTGCGGTAGCAAATTTGGTAAAACTATGCATATATTTTGAAACATTGTAACAAATTAGATTAAATGCGGTTTTTAGGGAGTCATATTGACTATAATGTTAACCAGAAAAAGTCACCGAAGATCGGAGTAAGAAGTTTTTCAAAATTATAGAATAATCGAGCTTTTGCGAGCTTTTAAACGGAGGATGTCATGCAAGTAAAAGGTGGGGTTCACAATTCACATTATTTAAACTTTACTTAATTTTAAAGCCCAGATCAACCTCTTCAGTCTTAGCGACTGTATAAGATAATAAACAAATTCATCAATTATTCCGCCTTCGTTAAAAGATCTTGTCGCACATATGATAACATGTGAGATGCCTTTCACAGTAAGAAAGACCGTAGAAAAAGTTTAAATACTAAAGTTTGAAGTTAGAATCGTGAATATTGTGGCACATCAAAGCTTTCGTGTGAGAACAAATAGTTTAAACTGTCCGATGGTAAGCATACTTTATCACTATTTTTACCAAACTATCTACTTTTATGTCTGCCTGTGGACTGGTAGTGATTCATTTTGAGATCAAAGATGTTGCAAATTCGAGTTGGTCGTCTTTATGATATGTGCACGGTAAAATGCACATAAATATGGCGGTACCTTTAATCTTACTCTGTTCTCTCTCTCTCTCTAAAGAGCTGTAACTTGGGCATTCTGTTTCTAATTCGAGTGCATTTCAAACTGAAAACTGGAGAGTACTTATTGTGTTACCATGGTTACTAAGTGTCGAGATATTAGAGGACAATCAAACTAAATACAGTACATGTCAATCCTCAAAGTGATCTTATTGAGTGCATTTACTTTATTTAATACAGCGCTCTAACTTGAATAGGTCGAGGCAGCACCGAATTAGAATGGTAGGTTAGAAAACTAAGAAACAGTTATCATTAATATCTAATGGTTTACAGTGGTGAACTGGTGGTTAACAGAATATGGTATTATAGTCTATATCACGTGTGAACTGTGAAGCTAGAACACCATTACAAGTGAATAAACCTGGGCAACATGGAACAGAAAACTGTTCACCTCATAACCCATCTTATCTTCTTCTGTGGTCACGCCGCTAGTTTAGAGAGTGCATTGAGTACCAGTAAAATAGAGGTGCTCATTATGCTATTAAATTGGGATTTCTGAACTCAATTTACTCTTATTTTATGATATATCCACAGAATTGGTGTCATTATGGGTGCAATTGAGCATCAATCTAGCTCTGTGACTAACGAACTATTAGATGATATCATATATTTGTGGGCAGTATCGTTTAACAGGTGCTTATGTCATTATCTTCCGTACAGCTGACGTGTGGTGGGTTTTCAATTAGCGCGAAAAATGATCAGTGAAATTATATTTTTTAATTTAGTACATCTAGCGTTCACAAAATCCGTTTACGATCAATATTCCATTATGAATTATATCTGATAGCAAATATAAACAAAGAATAAACTGTTAAAGAGTATTATTAGCTGAAGAAGTAACGTACGATATTAGCGATAGTGCCCGCAGCGTTCATAACCACATTCTTATCATCCGACATGAGCATGTTAACGAGCGCAGTAAACAAGGTGGGATTAGTCTGTCCGGAGGTAGCAGTGTTCCGGGGCACTTCCAACACGTACTGTCTACATCTGGGGTGCTCCACTATAGTCCCCAGAATGTGCACCACAGACTCTGTTAACCTGAAGAAGGGAGTTAGGAACAATCTTACTTGCTGCCATCTAGGAAGTTTTTGGGTTTATATCATTATATTTTTGTGCTGTATTTTTTAAGAGCATATTAACCTATTGGGCTAGACTTCGGAGAATCTCTTTGAAATAGTCATGCCTGGTATTTAATCTTCAAAGAGGTCTAATAAGGATAATAACGATAAATAAAGATCAAAACCGATAACAAATTTTGTTCTAAACGAGCTAAGGATATAAAAGGATTATTTACGAACCATTTAACTTATCTACGACATTTTCGACAATATTTTTCAGGCATAATGTCACATTATCATAATAATAATAATGTCAATATCAAATATCTCAGTAGCGGACAAATGGCAACAGTATTATTAATGGGCCAACTTTCTATTACAAACTACATTACTACTACTATGTCGGAACTTACTCCGAGCAGTTCTCACAAGCCATACAGCTCTCTGTAACATCCTGTTTTGTTTCTATCGCTACACTTAACATCTTAACATTTTCACAAGTTGCCATCTCGGATACAGAATTAATTCCGGTTCATATTATGTTACTGACCAAACAGTCAACACGAATTAGGGGCTTAAGACAGAACCAGTCAACAGTAAATATCACATTCACCTTCCTCAACGTCATTGTTTTATGATTCGATTACTCATATAACATACAACAAGCTCTGGTTCATCATTAGTTCACAGTTACAGTATACTTCTTACTCATATCACATACAACAAGCTCTGGTTCATCATTAGTTCATATACACAGTTACAGAATACTTCTTACGTATATCACATACAACAACCTCTGGTTCATCATTAGTTCATGTACACAGTTACAGAATACTTCTTATCTGCACGATTTAATACACACTGTACAGCTCATGACATCATATTGGAGTAACATGAATCCATTACATGCCTTCCACTGTGCATACAACAAAATTGGTAGAATTCCGGTCAGGATATCTCAAATATCTGGCACAATATCACAAATATTTACGTGTCATCGTCCTAACCCAAAAACATTATCTCTTTAGGGGTGGAGCGGTAAACTTAGGGATAAGTGATGTTGCCTAGCAACGCTAGCACAACTCCTGCAGTTCTCAGCGTTGCCTAGTGATATATTACAAGGGGCTGAGCGAACAAACCAGGAGGAGGAGGAGGAAATGATCTACAATTATAGTTATTTAGGAGCTATTGGAGGGCTAATTTGGAGGGCTAACTTTTAGGGCCCCTGTTTTTAGGGCCCCTGTTTTTAAGGCTCCTATTTTTAGGGAGATATATTTCAGAATGTAGCTTTTAGTAAAGCCTGCAATATGATACTAAGTTTGGCTCCATTTAACACAAAAAATGTACCAACAGAATGAGGAAGAGATTACTTTCAACAGCAGGTGGCTTAGTACATTAGCTATCGGTTACCTGTCTTGGAGCTGCCTCTACGGCACATTAGATATGATACATAATATGATAAGGAATAAACCCACAGATGTCTCTGCATAATTATTACAGCGAATTTCAGTTGTAATTAGCAACTTTGTGGCACATTTGGCTAATGTTTTAAAAAAGCGCCTCAATATTTTACATTTTCCCGGACCCAGTGAAAACTCCAAAAATGCTGTTCATTATGTTGTGAATTAAACTATGATATCTTTACGTAAAAAGTTCAAAAACAAACAATATTGTATTATTATCATCAACATTCTCTCCCATGAAACATGGGCGTAAACTAAAGTGGTACCGATGAAGCAAATAACGCCATCAAGACTGAAATCTGTTATGAACCTGATGACGAAAATGTCGCAATTTGTGTCAACAGATGCCGCTAAAGGCGCCACTAGGACGCCCTGATACATTTGCTGCCTCTGTCGGCTCACCGTAAATATAATAATAGCCATTGTAAGTATCATAATATATTATTATTAACATTTAATTATCAACATAATATAATTATTCATTTACTTATACCTTAACAAACTCACTTTAATTCGTATGATGAAGACCTTGCTTTAGGATACTTAAACGGTGCATTGAGCATTGCGATTCAAACTTAATGAGCAAGGAAAACGACAAACAGTTTTGCATACTCTAGAAAAGTACAGATCTTCCTGAAAATTGTCTCTCACTTTTCAGTCTCCTGATAAGCATGCACCTAATCGTTTTCAGCAAGGACTAAGTAAAAATAATTACCGTAAATTCACAGAAGACTCTTCCTAAAGAGTTACAAAATGTAGCAACTGAGCTACCCTCTACTTAATATAGCTCTGACTGCAGGACTACGGAAATTCTTAAGATTACAGACTCATTTCTCCCAACGGCCTGGAAATTACTATCCAACATCATAAAAATGGTCTAGCAGCAATGACTTTAGGGTAAAGTGAACTTTACTGCAGGTGATTATCCCCTGTTCAGTGTTCATATGCCGACCCATCAAGCATGCTGATAAACAACAACAATATCTTGGTTACCATCGAGCATACACTGTCATTTGCCACTTTGAACTTATAGCGGCTGTAATTACGGATAGAGCGGATGATTATCTTATACGTATATGTAATTATTCTCTAGAGGTGAGCCTATAATGTATTATATATTTACAGATTGGGATTTGCTGCCAATAACATCCAAAATTAGACAACATCTCTATTTAACGGACTCATAGTCTTTCAAGGTAGAAAAACAGTATGAAGATCTGTCAATTTGATAATTAGCTAGCACTCTGGAGTTATATTGTGGCGGACTGCTACAATGTGAAGTCATGCAGCAGGTGCAGAATCAGGTGCAGCAGGTGCAGCAGGTGCAGAATCAGGTGCAGCATGTGCAGAATCAGGTGCAGCATGTGCAGAATCAGGTGCAGCAGGTGCAGAATCAGGTGCAGAATCAGGTGCAGCAGGTGCAAATCAGGTGCAGCAGGTACAGAATCAGGTGCAGCAGGTGCAGCAGGTGCAGCAGGTGCAGCAGGTGCAAAATCAGGTGTAGCAGCTGCAGAATCAGTACCTGATTCTTTAGAATTGATATAATCTCACACCATGATGTCAATTTATTTATCACAGAGAAAACACTAAAAAATTCGTAAATTTTAGAAAAAGTATTTTAGTCTCCCTAGTCCCTACTCAGGTTAAGAATATGGTTCATTGAAGTAATGTGATATTGAAGGTGATAATATTGTGCTCACGAGTAAGCAACCATCAAGTCTTCAATGTAATGCAGATATCGCATAACAAAAGTCACCTTTTTGAGGTCAAATTACCATGACACTGTGATCACATGTGTTATTAAAGTTCTCATTCTCCGTTCTCAACAGTCCATTTCGTTCTATACTCTCGAGTAGCCGCCCCTTTCTTTAAAAATGACTATTTTCGGAGATAACAACGCATCTGACCCCTCTGCTATCTCCAACTGTAACTTTGAACTTCACATCGGAACAGAGTTTGACAGCGTTATGAACACTGCTCTAGCCTGTGTGCTTGTAGTCGCAGCTCTGGTCTCAGTTCTGGGTAACTTCAGTGTGTTTCTCTACTACAGCAAGAGCCAATCAGCTCCCTTCTCAGAGTTCCTAGCAAGACAGTATATAACTGTTATCAGAGCTATCGCGGACTTGCTCTACAACGCCAGATCCATCTACATAGCTGTTGTTTTGCTGAGAGACGAACAAGAGGAATTGTGCAGTTGCAGTTGTTCTAAACATGAAAGAATTCTTGATATTTTCAATATTATCATGTTTGGACTGTTCATGGTGTCCCTGATACTAACTTTTGTTGTATCTGTGCTGAATTACGCCAACGTCCTGGGCTACACTATCAACAGAATGATTTACGGACCAAATCTCAGATATCGTGCGAGAGTGGCTTTCTTCGTGATAACAATTGTTCTATTCACAATGGTATTTGCCTTAGAAATGTTCAGTACAACAGGAATTGATTTTAACAAAAACGACTATTTTTGGTTCAGTCCAATTCAACTTGACGTCTACCGTGCTAAAAACAGCTCCATGAACTTCCAGGCCCAAAAATGGATTCTGTTCGGATCAAAGTCACTCCTATTATTTTTCCACATCTTCTTTGCTGTAGTTGGGTGGGTAAACCTTGTCAAGATGGACATACTACGATCCCACAATCTAAAGAGGTTGTGTTTTAGTATGTGTCTGCTCATACTTGGGAATTGCTTTTGCTTAATTCTATCGCTTGTCAAAGATTTAGTCACAGACTTTATAGACTTTGCAACCAATTTCCGGGACCATGGCAATCCAGGGTTGCCTTATAACATGACCTATCTGTTGTTTGCAGCTGATGTTTTAATGCAGTCACTGCTAGCGGCATACAACCCGGTTATCTTCGTGGTAAACTCAAAGTCGGTACAAAGAACAGTTTTCCAGACGCTAACCGAAACAGTGGTCTTTACCAACAAAGTCAGTGTATCCAGGAACCTGACCATTCAGCAAGCAGATGATGTTGAACAAGCCACCATTAGACCAGTCCACCGATCACCACAACCCAGAAGACCACAAGTTGGGCCGCCTAGACCTACTTCAGTGACATTCAACCGGACAATTTCCATCACTGTGTACACCTCAGTAGATGTGGCTGAGCCGGTGACAGGAGAGGCCATCAGACTTCCTCTGAACCACATTCCTTCTATCCCCACCATCTCAATCCCGGTAACACAACTTCTCAACCCTATGAGAATGCCTTCTATTGGGGGAGGTTACTACGGTAAAGTTTACAAGTACACAGATGAACTTATTGGTTGTTCAGTGGCCTTGAAACACATCCAACTTGTAGCTCATGGACGGGTTAGAAGTACCATTGAAGACGTCAAAAAGGAGGTGGGTGTTTTTCTCAGTTTAAAATTTTGTTCTCTGCCATGTTTACAATGGCACTTGACAGTGACACTATCGCCTTACAAGTAATATTTTAAGTTATTTCACGGTACAAAATGTATCAATTTAATCTAACTGACATTAATTTCAGATAAATATCAACAGTCAGCTGACGAGCCACAACAACATAGTTCAGTACGTGGGGTGTGTAGGTTTGGAACAGAGCAACTGGTACATTATCCAGGAGTACATGCTGCTAGGGTCACTGAAAAGCAAGCTGGAGATCCAAGCAAGACAGCTGACTGTAACTGATCAACAAACCCGGCCAGTGTTACCGGAACGATTAATATTGAAGTTTACTTTGGAAATGGCATGTGGGCTGGAGTATCTTCATCAACAAAAGATCGTCCATCGTGATCTTCGGTCTCCGAACGTGTTGATATCCTCAACGGAGACGGCCAAACTTGCCGACTTTGGACTGTCGAAGAAACTAGAGGCAGTTGTGCGAACTGCTGGGGATTATACGCCCGATGTTGGTAATGCTTATTGGCGCGCCCCTGAGGTGATGAACACTGAAGAGTGTGGCTTTCCTGTTGACGTGTGGAGTTTAGGGATCACCATGCTGGAAATGATCTACAATGAACCTCCATTCATGAATGATGAGCCATTTAAATACATGTGGAAGCTAGCAAGAAGTAAGAAAATTCCTGAAATTCCACAATTTGTTGGGGCTGATTTACAAGAAGTTTTGACGATATGCTTGATGTATGATCCTGCAGAAAGACCCCTGGCAAGTGAGCTTCTTAAACATATTTTAGAAATCAGAAAATGAATAATTGAAGAAGATATCAATTTTAGGTTCGGTCATAGGTGATTCGAACAATTTGATGTAATTCAAGAAGTATTTTTAAATTCATTCAATAATGTACTAACCATATGCACCAATTGTAATGGCTCACCTCTTATCATCGAATTCAAGTAGGTCGACAAGGCCTGCTACAGCTTCACTAGCCAAACTGTGTTGAAGCAATTTGTATATCTGAAAATAAAATTGTATTACTTTTTGAAACTAGTGATTCATAATCAATGAAACAAGAAATTCAATGAAACAAGAAATTTAATTTTAGCACATTTTACAGAATAAAAAGATGTAAAACAATTCATAAAATATAATGCCCATTTGGTGTAATCTTCAAGATTAAACATACAATATAATTATACTCTTTGATTGATTTTTTTTCTTGAATTTTTGTCATTAAATCAAATATTTTGATGAACAACTTTGGTTGCTTTTTAACTGCGAAGCATGAACAATTGAATCAATTGGTGATCTGTACTTTTGTTACTTACAATTACTATTATGTGTGATAATTTGATATTTGTTCTTCTTATTATTCAGTTTTTCAAAACTTACTGCGTTTTCATTCTTTGTATCTATGTAATCTGTTAGCCAGGATAGAACAGTCGGAGCCCTATAACATTATATTTTAGTTACTGTTTATAAAAGCAGATGCCAAAGAACTAGAATCAATGTAGAATCAATAGACTGTTAAGGCATGAATTACTATACTAATCAACAAGTAGTAAACAGTTTCAAACCTGTAGACATCTCTATCTGCTAAGTATTCAAAGTATTCATCAATGATTTCTTCTGAAGGATCCATTCTTCATATAGATTGTTTCACAGCCTCGTTTAAGTAACCATACCCAGTTCTTGACTAACGATAAAAATATCAATTAGTCAAATTACAGCTGGTTGATAGAATCGAATCAAATCTCATGGAAAAAAATGGTATTTGATAACGAACACACCATCGAGATATCAGCTTACACTTTTGATTTTATTACATTGTGTTTCATGGATGCAGTTTTTTCATGTGAAATAGCCAAAGATACATTGTTTCAACAGATAAGATAAGAATATTCTTTGTCTTTGACCGGATGGAATTGGTATTTGGCTAAATTTACTAAAGTAGACATTACCATGCTGCCAACTCCACATTGGACAGTGAGACCTCTCAAGGACAAGATGAAGTCCCCAGCACGATCAACAGTCGATGTGTTACAAATATGTGTAAGAAACTTTAAGTATTTTTAGTGAACCACAGGGATACATACTCATGGTTAAAAGTGAATATGTGAATGATCCCTCAAATGTTAGAAAATGACCAAAAACCTGATCTGTTAAATATTTTAACTTTTCTTTGTCAAGTTCAAAATCTGTTCCTATCTATTACCAAAAGCTCTCAAAACTTGGGCAAAACTTATCCTTTGGCTTTTATTGTCGAACACTCCTGTGTTAACAATTTTACTAGTTCGTTTCCCACTTATCAGAATACAGTTTATTGTATTTTTAGGGGGCCCTACCTGCATATGATATTATACCAGTCTGCGGTCGATACAAAATGACTTGTAAGGTTCCCCTTAGAGCAATATATGTGCCGTTATCTAATTCTGTACTTTTAGTATCAGTTAATAAAGCAAAAGTTAAATAATACATAATATCGTATGCGTTTAAGAAAACCAAAAGACACTACAGATAAATTATATAGCATAGTAGTGTAGTTCTTTACAAAAATAGTGTCTTAAAACTGAAGATTCAAAGTTGAAAGTAAAAAAAAATTTATAACCTAGAGAGACCTCAAGTATTAAAAAAATCGTGTGGAGACGGTAAAGCTCTTCAATCCATAAGTTGTATTTGAAATTAATTTTTAAATGTTCGGATTTATAGATTCATTTTATTACAGCTTTCGCTGACGTTGAGGTGGAAAAACAAGCCAATATCGAGTTTTGTAGCCACAATTTATAGATTCAATATTCAAAACTTGAAAAGACCGATACACCTACTTTAAAATCACATCACACATGTACATTTGAAAGGCACCAAACTATTGTAATCATGTAAACTGCATGAAAAATTTGCTTGTTTGTTGTTTGTTGTTTGTATTGTATTTTTGAAAGATGACGTTTTGCTGACGCTCGATTTTAAGATTTAAAGTTGTTCTTACTGAGCTTGCTAGTCTATTGCTCGATTTTTTTTTTGATAGTATGGCCTATGCTCGGATGCAACGTGAAAAGGGTGCCACGCCTTCGAAGCTTAGCGTGACCTTGACACACGCTGTAGCCCCTTTTGAGCGCGCACCGGTATACAACGTGTAGCAAGCGCGGCCCAAGCCCCATGCGCGGGTCGCTAGGGGGTTGTTCACATATTACGTAATAATTTTTTGGAACATTTTTACCCCCCACCCCTTCTATTCCGTAATCAGAATTTTACACATAGCTATTGTGTCCAAATTACACTAGCTGCTAGCGTAATCATTTGGAAACCCCCTTCAGCTGATTACGTTAAATATTTGACCATTGTCATGTTAATGATCTGGCCCGGCGCGCGCTACTTCGTAGCACTTGCCATCGCACATCGGGCCATTTCGAGAAGAAAGCGGCGCGCGCTACTTCGAAGAAATTTAGACGAGTAACATTCGTCAAGTTAAATATGTAAACGACCTGTCGACTCTTACTCTTAGTTACCTGGCACGCCAACCCCCATGACAGGGGAGGCCGGAACCAGGTTTTCGGTCAATAACGCTGCCATTTTTAGTCATTTGTCGACAAAAGCAATAAACTTCATAATACAGTTGCTTTTGTCCAATGAAATCGATGTTGATCTAACCTTGTGGCGAAATGCGCTACTGTGCCGCGCCGAGCTGAGATGAATTGACATCGTCAATTAAGCCCAAAACTGTGTCAAGTGATGCGGCGCGTGATACATTCCAACCAATAATTGCGACGTCAGATTTGAATCATCTGAGATGACGACTTTGTCACATGGTATATATATTCACGCGTTGGGTCCGTTCTAGAAGAATTTGGATTGTTCTAGAATATATATTGGCTCCATCACAGCTATGTTTCAATTGCTCCGCACTAGGTTTAATTGTACGTGTTGTATGCTCGTTATTTCGCTTGCTGCTCATTGTTGATCCATTTCTCGTAGGACTTCTATCACTCTCAGATTTTGGAGAGCTTGTAATATCAAGCAGCAGTTTATCTAGTTCGTGTTATCGATTAATTAAATAATCAATTAAATCGAATGCTCGAATCAATTCTAAATCTAATTCTAAGTTGTTGTTTCATGTGTTTCTTTTGCCCTACTTCATACTGCAGCTTGGTCATGACATTGATATAATGTTAAAGATGTGATCAGTGATCTTACATTGCATGAGGTCGAGAAGAAAGCGGCGCGCGCTACTTCGAAGAAATTTAGACGAGTAACATCCGTCAAGTATGCAGAGCTTGACTACAAAATCAATAATGCAGCGATTTCATTGGACGAGAGCAACTGTGTCATGAGGTTAATTACTTTTGATGACAAATGACTTGTACATTGTATCACGTCGTGACCCCCATTGTCGTTTCAGAAGTTTCTACGATACAGGGGCCGCGCACTCGTGCGCGGCGGGTCATACAACGTATGACAAGTAAAGTCTTGATCAACGATATCAATCCTTCACAACCCGTCGTGGCCCAGTGGTAACCAAATTTAATGGCCCTAAGGTATGTCAGGTATATTTTCGGTAGACCTCATCATTGCTGCTCTCTTCACTGGGTGCAGTGAAAAATGTCACCAGGTAAAAGGATTATTGGCGCCAGATACGGGTGATCCAGAAATTATAACCTGCCCATTGCTCAAGAAAGAAAACAAGTCCTTGTTTTAGTGGAAAATATGATTTAGATTATAAAATAAAGTGTCTTATCAATGTTACACAAGCTCCGCAGTCAATTGAAATTAAGATAACGTCATAGCACAATTTGTAATTAAACAAGAACCATCATAAAATGAATCTAAACAAATTATGTCGTTGAAAATGCATGTTCGATAGTTGAACTTTTTGATAATAATATCAAACGGTTTGAATTCCCCTTAGTGTAACACATAACAGTAAAGCCCTGATTTATCGAGAGTTTTAAAGTGAGCCCCCAAAATTGATTGTGTAAATCGAAACCATGATTTACCGAGCAAATTACTCCAAATCTACCTCTCAGGATTTCCTATAAAACATACTACATTTCCCAAAATTTCATCCATAATTTAATTGAGAAACTCAGATATAAAAACTTTTACCAGCTTTATTTATACGTCCTTATACCATCATGGCAAAATACTGCGGCTTTTGTGTGTAACTTCCATTTGATCTTCTTTCTGTCTTTTAAATCATAATTCAAGATAATTAGAATTTCAGTAAAAATAAAATAAAATTGTTCAACTCATTGCACACGACAATTAAATAAATTATCTTACATTGTGGTGAAGTGCAATATCTGGACTGTTCTCACATTAATCAAATATATAAGATTTCAATTAGCAGTTTGATAAAAAACAAGATAATTGTACAAATTAAAATTGAGACAATTAATTTACAAATTGCAACAACAAATTGTAAAACTGAAAATGGCAGTTCCCTCAAGAACCGCTCTAAAACTGAACAATAAAACAAGTTTCTTCCTTTTATCGGTACCTCTGCCGATTACCTCCTCCTCCCCCCCGGCCACCACCCCGCCCTTTCTCTCTGTCCATCTGAATCCTCTTCTTTTCCCACCTCTCACTCATTACTCTCAACTCTGGCGGAACCACTTGATTAGAGTCTTCTAGAATCTTTATCAGTTCGGAAGATTTCCTCCAGTCCTCTCGAGTAAACAAACTGACAGCAGTTCCCTCTCTCCCCGCTCTCCCAGTCCTCCCCACTCGGTGCACATAGTCCTCCATATCACGGGGGAAGTCATAGTTTACAACATGTGTGATTCCTTTAACGTCCAGACCACGACTGGCAACGTCTGTAGCGATCAGAATGGAGATATCCCCCTCTTTGAAACCCCCCAGTGCTGCCTCCCGGTCTGATTGATCCCGGTCTCCGTGGATAGCGTCACTTTTTATACATCTACCAGCGAACTCGGGTCTCATGTACCTGTGGGTGTTGTGTGAGTTTAACGGGGCCTTACAAACCAGATCAGGGCAACAAACAACCCACTTAGAAGTAAGAGACTGTATCATTACAAACCATATCAGGGCAACAAACAACCCACTTAGAAGTAAGAGACTGCATCATTACAAACCAGATCAGGGCAACAAACAACCCACTTAGAAGTAAGAGACTGCATCATTTCTAAAAGTTTGCGTCTGTGAGTTTAAATTTAAAACTAGCCTATTTCAAATGCCTTGTGGCAGAAACTTCAAGTTAATAATTATTCAATCTAACCTCGTGATAAATTCGCTTGATATGAAGTCAGCAGTTATCTTTCTCCCCACGAACACAAGACACTTGTCATGGTGGTGATCCAACTGTGTTTCTATTAGCTCCTGAAATACGATATATCTTATTAGTCCTAGTCCAAAGATATGGAAGATACTGCAACAAGTTTTAGATTATTGCCAATGTAATTCTGACAGATATCACTACAACAAATAAAATGCATGTACCCTCTATGAGTTCGATCTACAGAAAATAGAACCCTCAAACGGACACTGTTTATCTACCAAACATTAAGGATCCTAACCAGCAATAATCTGGTCGGAGCAGGAGTTTGGAAACAAGTCCTAATAACAATTAAGCAGGAAAAGATGACCTCAAAACCCGAAACAAATGGGGGGGGGGGGGGGGGGGGTCCAACTACATTTTTGTACACTAATTTAGCGTACATTTGGCAAAAATCTGATGGCCATGTACATTAATGGTCATAAAAAATGTACAAAAATCGGAAATCCCTGGAAACGGAACAGGAAAAAACATATTTTGTACATTTTTTTGTTCATGTACATTTGGCAAAAATCTGGTGGCCAAACAGGAAAAAACATATTTTTTACATTTTTGTACATGTACATTTGGTAAAAATCTGGTGGCCATGTACAAAAATGTAGTTGGACCCCCCCCCCCCCACAAATTAAAAACGAACAAGTGGTAACCTGCAACAAATTCAGTTTCTCCTCGAGGGTAGTCATCACAATGTGCTGAGTGACTGTGACCGCTGCCTTGAGATCTAGAGTGCCAACATTGACAATGATACTGTTGTTCATGTACTCGTGAGCAATACGTCTGACGCCGGGGGGCCATGTTGCTGACGTCATCACTGTGTGACGGTCGGGTCTGATATCTAACAACACCTGGGGTCAGAGACATAAGATACTTTTATTGGATTGCTGACGACATTAAATTGATGATAAAAATATGTAGACCTTGATACTTTTCATCCCAGCAAAAATTACCTGTAAGTGAAGCAATTTCAATTATCACTTCATCAGACAAAAATAAATTAGACCCCCTTCCTCATTATGTATATTTTTAAAAGTTCTCTTACCTTCTTGATCTGAGGTTCAAAGCCCATGTCAAGCATCCTATCAGCCTCATCCAGGATAAGATAAGAACACTCGTCCAGAATAAGAAGTTTAGACTCGATCAGGTCGTTCAGCCTGCCCGGTGTGGCAACTACTATGTCAACTCCTGATTTTATCATCTGTATTTGCTCTGAACGACTCCCTCCTCCGTATACACATGCAGAACTTATACCGTGGTAGGTGTACTTATCTACCTGCGGGAGGAACTTTGTGAACAACGAGTCAATGATTAAATTCTAGTTTAAAGGGAGTTTTTTAACTTGATCAATGTCATGCAAGGAAATTAAATAACAGTGGAATCTGATTAGAGTTTATCCTAGAATAAATGAATATTAACGATCACTCACCTCCCATTTAATCTGGAGTGCCAACTCTCTAGTAGGAGCCAGACAGAAGACAGTGGGACCCTTTCTTTGTGATCTAGGTTTCGGCTGGGCCTCAATATGAATAAAAGCAGGGAGAAGAAAAGCTAGAGTTTTCCCTGTTCCCGTCTGAGCAACACCGATACAGTCGTGCCCAGACAACAGAACAGGCCACATTTGCTTCTGAATTGGGCTGGGCTCCTTGAACCCCTGTTTGTAAATCTCTTTCAAAATATCAGGATATCTCTGAAAACAGTGTTCAAATGTTAGGATAGGTTTAGCGATGGGAGGGTAAGCGGCTGGGTTATCCTTGTCTTGCTCTCGTACGTAGTGAGACACCTCTATTGCCATGTTATTAGCTCGGATCTCCAGGACTTGTGCCTCTGATAAGCTGGATATTTGGGGGTCCTCTGTGTAGAACTTCTTCTGAACAGGAGGGAGGCTGCCCCATTTCTCAAACCTATACGCTTCCTCGTTGGCAGCAATCTGACCCCAGTCAATAGTTTTATTATAATCAATAACACCTGTGCTCCGAGGTTCCTCATCGTCAATAATAGCCACGATATTGCTGATGAGATCTCTTGCTTTTGCGATTGCAGCTGGAGGTCCCCGCAGAGTCACCTCCTTCTCATAACCTGACGACTCTTTACCTATATCAATAGTCGCACCACTCTCATCTCGTATTTCATTGATAGTGGCACCGGATTTACCAATAATGCGACCCACTGAGTTTTCAGCAACTCTGATAACTACAGAGCCTCCTGATGGATCATTGTTAGAGGGCCTGCCCGATCTGCCACCTCCGCCAGACTCATCACCAAGAATCTCACTTATCAGTTCTCTAGCTTTGGAGACACTGTCACGTGACCCAGTGATAGTTACCTCTTTCTCATCACCAACCTCATCTCGTGCGATATCAATCTTAGCGCCCGACTGATCTTGGATACTGTTTATTGTGGCTCCACGGCTCCCAATAATACGGCCTACTCTGTGACACTGTACCCGCATTGTCTCTGAGCAATCTGAGCTATCTTGTGGAGGGTTGGCAGTGTCATGATCAATGAATCTGTCCATGTGAGCGTTGGGATTACCCCAACCATTCGGATTGTTATGAATATTATCTCTGTTTCCGTAACTACTACTACTATTACCGTTCGTTGCTCTCGCATTTGGTGATGTAAAATGGGACGGTTGCGCACTGTAGCTACTCTGAAGATTGTTGATTCTCTCAAGATTCTGATCTATCTCTGATTTGGAGAGTGGAGGTGGTGTTGAAAAGAGGGTGCCAGGAGGGGCGTTTGGGTCCTTTATTCGCTTTCCTCGACCCCGACCAAAACCTCGCGGTCTGGTCGCCATCTGGATCAAGACCTGAGCTTTGAACAGGGGTTAATAGTTAAAAGAACAACTAAACGTATTGAAACCGAATGATCACACGCGCTTAATTTTACTTGCCAGTCAAAATAGGTCATGGCAACGATGTCATGAGAATAAAGCGAATCAAATTATGATTAGTCAGATTTGTTCTGCAGGACAATCTTTGAATATAATGAAAACACTAGATATTTTAAGCTGAACTTTGATCGCAATGAAAATACATAACTTTACATGTAATATATTGTGTTTAGAAATGAAAGTATTTTCCCGTGCACAGTACCAAGTTTCAAACTAAAATTGAAATAAATACTCATGTCAAGCGATGACTGAGGCAAGACGTTGTAGAAGTAATAAATTAAGTATAATATTTTATATCACTGTATGATACCAGTGTTTAAGCTACCCCTCTGTTTTCAAATTTGTGTGCGCTGCAATGACGGAGATCAATTAAAATCATTTGTTGCCTGTTTTCTGAAAAAGTTGAGAATGATGGAACCTCAACCAAATATCATATAAAAGAGATGCCGGCTCTGGGATATGTGTTTAAACTGAATAAATACTTAAAAACCTTCCAAAAGAATAAAATAATGATTTAATCAAATGCCATACAAAAGTTTAACCTATATTTTGACAAACTTTTACAGAACGCAGAATACCAATCAATAGTCAGATCAAGTAATATTATCGCTATAGAGTATAGACATCATTTCGTTTTGAACTTTGAAGCAAAGGTATATTCATATGTTACAACTAAACAGTTCGACCTAATCTACATTTTCAAAGACAAACTTCATCTAACAATCGCAAAGTATAAAATTTCAAATACTATAAACTCTAGTAAGTCGATAGCAACGTGAGCACGAAAATAAACCAGGCAGTATATGAAAGGGCCAAGGTCAAATCATTATGATCAACATTTTCAAAAAATTCAAGCTTACTTTATTATTTTTTTATGGAAAACCTGAAGACAGTAATTGAAGACTGTAGAAAATCAAAAACTACAAACTATAGTATGATAATTTCTAGCAAAACCCCTGATTATAAGCCCATATTTCACACCTCTTCATCGACAATGTCATAGATGTAATCTCTTGCACTCAGAACCTCCTCCTTGGCTCCTATGAGAATCACCTTCGTCTCATTCTCCTCTTTGACATCCTTCTTAACGTCGATCTTCACACCGTGCATGCGCTCGATCTCCCTAATCTTGGCACCTCCTTTACCGATGATACGGCCCAGAGATGACGTCTCAACCCAGATATCCATAGAACCACGTTCAATTGGAGGTCCCCTGTCTTCTCCATCTCCACGCTCTCCGCGTTCTCTACGTTCTCCACCTTCCCCACGACCTCCTCGACCACCACGGTCTCCACGTTCACCACGTTCACCTCGGTCACCTCGGTCACCACGTTCTCTCTCTTCCTCGTCAACAATTCCTTGCACGATGGCTTCAGCCTCCTTGCAGTTCTCCTCATCTCCGGAGATGGTGACTAGGCACATACCACGCTCGTCTCGCTCCCGAGAGTTAACATCAACACGTGTGCTGGTTCTCTCCTGGATCTCGGCGATCTTGGAGCCTCCTCGTCCGATGATCATACCACATCTAGACTCTGGAACGTAGATCTCGATTACGTGTTCACTCGCATCGAAACTTCGAGATTTGGACTCTTTGCTGCCACCCTCACTGATGATGTGCTCGATCTCCTCCTTGGCATCAACACACTGGTTGGCTGATCCAGTGATGGTCACCTGTACCTTTCCGTCACGTGCCTCGTTCCTCTTGTCGATTCTGATACTAGCTCCAGAGTTGTCCTGAATACTCCTGATTTTGGCTCCTCTAGCTCCAATGATCAGACCGCACATGGACTCCTCAATCATCATGAGCACAGTCTCGGCTGGGTGACTTGATTCCTCTACCAAACTGCTGATCATGTCCTTTGCAGACTCGCAGCTTTCCTTGGCTCCAGAAAGGGTGACCTCGATCATACCATCTACAGCGGTGTTCCTCCTAGCGACATCAACCTGGGCGCCTGACCTGTCCTGGATGTCCCTAATGGTGGAACCTTGGGGCCCGATCAGTTTCCTGGTCATGTCAAGAGGGATGGTCATGTTAGTGGAGTAAGCTGGCTCCACATCCTCACGACCGTTGTCAGCATCAGAGATCAGATCCAAAATAATCTTCTTAGCGTGGTCACACTTTTCCTTGTCTCCCTTCAGAGTTACCTTGATCAAACCATTAACTGCTGTATCTCTCGATCCAACATTTACTCCAACTCCTGTGTCAGACTGAATCTCCCGGATCTTAGATCCTCGAGAACCGATGACCAAACCACACTTATCTTCGGGTATTTCGAACTCCTCTGTTGCATCACCATCTCCTGACTTCTGTGGGGATCTCGGTTCATCCTGGTAGATTCGAGCCAACAGAGTTTTGGCTTTCTCGATATCTTCCAGTGCTCCGGACAGCCTAATGACTGTTCTCCCTTCCTCCTGTTCGTCAGTTACGTCGATCGTTGCTCCCGACTTGTCCTGGAGCTCCCGGATCATGGCACCTCGTCGGCCGATGATCTTGCCGACCTTGTTCGCAGGGACAGATATTTTGTCCTTGGCAACTGGACTGCCATCTGTCGACTCCGGTTCCCTGCCTCGAGCCATACCTGGGGCTAAAGACATGATAGTTAGGTACGCATAATGAATTCAAAATCAAGAATTTGAAGATAATTGAGATGATAAAACAAATAGCGAATGGCTGATATACGAATTGACATACAATCATAACTTTCAAGGTACACGAATGAAACAATTCAAGTGATTAAAAAGTATTAAATCAAAATTTGATTGAAATACATATATTTCAGCTTTCAGTTGAACAGTGCGAATTACCGATGGACCTTAAATATTCGTTCCGGGGGGACAAATTCACAAATCCTGATTTCACGTAAAGGCCAAATAATAGAAAATGATTCAAGAAACTACTCTCTTACGAAAAGACAAAAGACCAGCTTATCAAATCGAATTCCACTTTTTACTTAAAAATTAAATCAAATTTTTCGCTCTTAAATATGATAAATTACCTTATTGAAATGAAAATTAACATTTCACGGGCAAAATAAGCTGTAAAAACACAAATACATTCGGTAAATAAGGGTAGATCAATCAAAGGGAAGCAAATAAAAAACAATAAAAATGTCTTTTATCAAACATTGCATTCTGAATAAATTAATCGGGTTGTAAACTCCTCTTACAAGGATCAACGATGTAATCCTTTGCTTGCGGAGTGTCGGATGGTGTCCCTGTTAAAGTTACCATGGAATCGTCATTTTATATCTGATCATTTTGTATGTCTACCCGAACACTGAACTGCTCTTCAATTTCCCTTAACTCCCACCTTTTCCTACCAATCTGCCCTGTCAACTTCAACACCCTTACCATGACCTTTCCGTCCTTTTGTCAGAATCGGAGATCAGTTCCATAATAATCTTTTTTGCTTCATCACACCCTCCCTTGTCTCCCCTAAGGGTGACCTTGATCATACCACCAACTGCTGTGTCTCTCGACCCAACGTTAACTCCAACTCCAGTGTCGGACTGAATCTCCCGGATCTTAGATCCTCGTGATCCGATAACCAGGCCACACTTGTCCTCGGGAATATCAAACTGCTCAGTCGGCTCACCTTCTTGTCCTTGCTGGTTGGATCTCGAGTCGTCTTGGTAGATCCTGGCCAGCAGGACTTTGGCTTTCTCGATATCTTCCACAGCACCAGACAGTCTGATGACCGTTTGCCCCTCCACCTGTTCGTCAGTAACGTCTATCTTACATCCTGACTTGTCCTGGAGCTCACGAATCATGGCACCTCGGCGGCCGATGATCTTGCCGACCTTGTTTGAAGGGACTGATATTTTGTCCTTGGCGACTGGACTGCCATCTGATTCTTGTTCTCTAGACATACCTGGGGCTGAAGACATTGTAGTTAGAATTCAGCATTATATCTAGAATTTTTAAATAATTCAAATCATAAGATGTGGCAAATGGTTAAAATCCGAATTTATCACAAATACAAGTACTAATTCGACGCAAGAGTCACACAATTTTGTAATTAAAAAGTATTGAATTAAAATTTGATTGAAATAATTTTGGTAATAACATACATGCATAGATTCTTTTACACTATAAATCAAGCTTTCGATCGAAGAGTTCAAATAAGAATGGACATAGACAATATTCTTTACTCTTCGTTACACAACTGTTTCAGGCGAGATAAATTCATAAATCCCCATTTCAATCCACAAAGACCAAGACATATGATTGAAGAAACCAATCACCTTATTCCGATTTAAAGATTAAAAATATTTAAAAATCGACTACCACTTTTTATCCAAAAATGTTAAAATATTTAACTTATAACTCTTTTAAGTTATATTATAAATAACTTGTTTGAAATGACAATTCACACTTCACGTGACAGTTCAGTTGTAAAAACACAACTACGATCTGTTAACAATGGTTGATCAATCAAGGGGAAGGAAACTAAAAAAAAAACAATAAAAAACGTATTTCATCAAACAATGCATATTCTGAATAAATTAGAGGGGCTGAATCGCAGGTTCAGTCTTAACGCTTGGTGTTCTTAGCGAACCCTTAGAACGTGCTTTAGAAGATAACGATTAACAAACAGGGTAAATAAAGAAATTGTTTCACCAAGCCGGGTCCCCTGAAACTTGTCCCCAGCCATCACCTCCACCAGCAGCTGGAGCAGGCGCTGCTGGTGCACCCCAGGCCTCCTGATTCCGTATTTGAAGTGGTTTGGCCCCAGCCTGCATCAGTGCTCCCAGTGTTTGTCTGTCCCCACGAGTCCCCTCCTCCTCCTCCTCCACCACCACCTGAATCAAAATCAGGTTTAGAACTCCTCTCACACAGTTCATCGATGTAATCCTTTGCTTGCTGAGTACTAGATGGTGACCCTGTTAGTATTACCATCGTATCATCATCTTTCATCTGGTCTTTTTGTATGTCTACCCGAACACTGAACTGATCTTGAATTTCCCTTATTTTACTACCACCTTTTCCGACCACTCTGCCCAGTCGACAACTCTCGACCCACATTTCGAGTGGTTCAGCATCAGCAGGCATGTTGAACCCGCCACCGCCACCACCACCACCACCGCGGTCGGCAGTACACTTCTCAATAATTTCTTTTGCTTTAGCACGTTGCGCAGGGCTTCCTGATAAAGTTACCATGACTTTTCCGTCTTCTGCTGTTTCTCGGCCATGAACCTTAACATTTGAACCACTTTCATCTTGTATCTCCTGGATTTTAGAGCCTCCCCGGCCAATAACACGACCACATTTGTCTTCAGGTATCCAGATATCCTCATCTTCTCTTGGACCATCATCTCCACTGCTTGCCATGCCTCCAAAACCGCCACCACCACCGCTAGATGTAGTGCCTCCAGCGCCCTCGCATAGACCATTGAATTTAGTACAAATCTCATCGATCATTTTCTTAGCATGATCACAATTAAGTTGAGAACCCTTTATCACTACAGGTGTTATATTGCCATCAGAATCGCGCTTATTGATATCGATACTCGCTGAAGATTGAGCCATAATGTCTTGAATGTTTGAGCCCCCTTTACCAATTATCCTAGCTAAATTAGAATTATAAACATTGAACTGAAGTTCGACTTCTTTACCGGAGTCGGCAAATCTGTCAGTGTTAGAATCGTTGTGAACATTGCCCCAGGCATCAGTAGATGGCGCAGCACTGTTGCTATTGCCCCATCCTCCGCCTGCGTTTCCGTTTCCGAAACCGTTATTATTGTTGTTAGCAGGAGGAGCGTCGCGAGTAGTGATGTTTCCAACACCGCCAGCGAAGAGTTTTCCTTTTCCCTTAGCTGGGACGAACTTTCCTCTACCTCGGCCCGCGACTGGCATGCCTTGAAAATAGAGATTGAGTCTGAATAAACGATAGAAAGTGAGTAGGAATAAAAATGACAGTCAAACTTGGATTGACTAGAGTAATTCCATATGTCAATAACCGGGTCACATTTTAAGAGAAGACATTCGTCAAAAATTAAGTATATTTTGAAACAAATTTCAATGAGTTGAATAACAGATCGCAGAAAATTGTTAAATCGCAGTGAAACACGTACATGTAGGGATTACAATAAATTAAAGCGAGTTGTGAAAGTCTATATATGTATGATATTAAATAAAATAGAAATCATTACGTAAAAACACATTCAAACGACCACAAAATATTATAAAACACATCAGTTTCGTTTACTGGCAGAGGATTGAGGGTAAGGCACGTACAGTTTGCCAGTACTTCCTAGGTACACAGCAGCGTCGTGTACTTTGTCTAAAAACTCTGGTATTTCTGAAATAATGTGTGCTTTATAGCCACGTGGCAACGTGTGCTGTGTAACGAGCTGACGATGTGAGAATGTGCAGGAAACGAAGAGGATGTTTAATTGGAACGTATTCAATATATTATGGTAGTTAAATAAGTTATTTTTTATAAGAGACATACTTGTAGTGGCGAGACGATCTTTGACTTGGTTGGGGATAGGCATGCCGAAGTCGTCGTAATAGGTTAAACAGTAACTCATTCCTTTCTGAAAAAACGTTGACATCAGCCAAGAATGGTAGGAATGTAGTTATGGTAAACATGAGAGAAAATAATGTGAAGTCATTTAAACCACTTCATTTAAGCATGTAAGGGTGTATTGCAGAAAAGGACACCGTGTGGTGTGGTACCGAAGCATGTGCGCCAGATGCGCGGTCGAGCGCGCAAAAATTTAGATGCAAAATGCTTAAATGATGTGGTTTACTTGAAGTTCCCTCGCTAAATGCTGACAACTTTTTAAAGACCTCCACTCGAAATTGAAAAACAGCCGACTGTTGGCTGTCAGGAATGATAAACTGTAACTACGATTACCTGGTACAAGTCTTTATCAGCACGAATCACAAGCTTCGATCCATACTTTAAAACTCTGCAAAACGTCGGATAAATTGGTTTCGACTTGTGGGTAATGGACCTGCTGGCTATCTCGATGGTATTTGATTTTTCATTCATGAGGTGTGATCTCTCAAAAACGTAGTCTCTATCTTGGAGAGGAAAGGGAAACTTTGTGGCCCAGTAAACAATCTCATTGTTGTTAGTGATATTGTCAACCACGTACAAACTGCTGACGGATTTGTCCCAAACTGAACGGTACTGATCGTTAACCTGAGCGTTGTAAAACTCCACAGCGCTCACTGTGTCGAATGATCCAAATATTTTGTACAAAGTCACATTTTCTTCGGGAATATTCTTTTTCCAGATGCGATATTTTTCCTGAGATATCTCGTTTGTCCACCCATTTGACGTTAGAATGTCGTCATGCTCAAAGTCTATATCGTCAATGAGGAATGTATCGTTGTAAAATGTTCCAGCGAAATCGGACACGATATCTTGTAGCTCCGGGTCTTCCTTATCACAATTTGGGACATTAGAGGTAATGTACTCCATCACACCTTCCTCTCCCTTATCTTTACCAACAACTGTTATCTCCTTTACTATGTCGAGTTTCTCAGATATCTTAACCTGCATTTGAGTACGTTTATTCTTGATAAAAGCCTCGATACGCTGCTTTGCTTTTCTTGATACAAGAGATAAAGGTGGATCCCCACTATCGTCAGCATCTATCTCCGCTTTCAACTGCCTGACTGCTCTTTTGATCCGCGGCATCAGCTCGGTATCCTGATCCTCTCCTCTCTTCTTATTCTGAGATATTATCTCTTCAGTCAGCCCGATATCCACATGTTGGTGGTTAGGCTCGGGAGAAAAAACAAGGGGTTTAACAACTCCTGGTTCAGGAGACTTGACAAGTCTCTGGGTTATGTTCTTTATTGTCTCTTTAGTCTCAACCAAAGTCTCATTCAGAGACTCTGCCATTTGTTCCGCCATCAGCTCAGTCTCATAGTTAGCTTGCTCTGTGATCTTGCTGGCTTTCTCAGTGATAATATGTGAAAGTGAATCACTGTTCAACTTCTCAGTCAGCTCATGGAATGAGCTCGTAAGCTTCTCCTTAGCTTGTTCTATCTTGTTGAGAGTCTCCGATGAAGAAGGGAGCGAGTCTCTCAGCTCATCAAATAGTTTCATCTTGGAACTCTTGTTTACTGTTCGAAAAGTGTCGTCTTGGCAGTCAACTGGGCACAATTCACCATGGTTCAACTTTCTCACTCCTAAAAGCCTGCAAATTAACAATTAGAATGTGGGCAAACAGATAGGGTGTAATTACTGTGACAAAATATTCTGCAGAAACTATTAAACCAGCGCCAGTTATGGCAAGACTCAACGGTCCCCAATTAGTTCTAGATATTCCCCTAAACATGTACTCGTTTACAACCACTAGAATTAACTGTCGGTAACTGGAGATTCTCTCTCACCTACACGTGTAATGTAGGAATTACACAAATGGTGAACCATCCATATCTTGTTACCACGGCTGACGGCTAATGTATCGCTAAATATTGCATGCACTAAAGACATTAACTTTAAGTGAGCGCATAGTGAAATATTGGCCTCATAGATGTCTGAGAAGAATCCTGAAAATCAAATGGTTTTATCACGTATCTAATGCTGACGTACTTAAGCGGGCTAACATCGCCCCTGTTGATACTTTCGTACGAGCAGCTAGGCTCCGATGGTTTGGCCATGTGGTGAGGATGCCAGAAGAAAGAATACCCAAATATCTTCTGCACTGGATCCCAAAGCATGGTAAAAGATCAAGAGGCAGACCTCGGAAAAACTGGTTGTCATGCGTTCGGGAGGATGCAGCAATCTTCACAGGTGTCGATAATATCACGATAGAAGATGCAGAACAACAAGCTACAGACAGGGTTCACTGGAGAGGTCTAATATACCGGAGAAAGGAGTTACTATGTGGTGCAGGCCACTCCAACGACTAGGAGGAGACCTCTTCAAGTACAAGTAAGAGCGCATCCCAGGTAACCAATCTCTCTCTCTCTCTCTCTCTCTCTCTCTCTCTCTCTCTCTCTCTCTCTCTCTCTCTCTCTCTCTCTCTCTCTCTCTCTCTCTCTCTCTCTCTCTCTCTCTCTCTCTCTCTCTCTCTCTCTCTCTCTCTCTCTCTCTCTCTCTCTCTCTCTCTCTCTCTCTCTCTCTCTCTCTCTCTCTCTCTCTCTCTCTCTCTCTCTCTCTCTCTCTCTCTCTCTCTCTCTCTCTCTCTCTCTCTCTCTCTCTCTCTCTCTCTTTCTCTCTTTCTCTCTTTCTCTCTCCCAGGTAACCAATGTATCACCACACGTAGGCTCACACGGTGTGATTCCGAGCTTCTCGTTATACACAATGATAAAGTGCTGATGTTTGACAGATGGAGAATAAACCGCGCCAAATATGGTAGGACCGTGAACATAGCGAGCACACCTGCCGTAACAAGTGTTGATTTAGCGTACCAAGTTGCGGAGCCACACACATACGGGCCATTTTATTGAGTGAATTGTATTAATTTGTAAATCTACTAGGACGCAGTGTATAGCTGCATGTTAAATTATTTACGAAGCCGGATCAATTATAATAGTTTGCTCGGCTGCTCAAACAGTGAAGTAAATTACGAGCTTTTACTATGAAAACTACTCTAACTTTAAAAACTGCTGCTCATGATTGGAACGAGGACCCGATTCAAATACCGACCAAATATTCAACACTAATAAGTAGTGACACAAACTTACTGAAACAAGATGACACGCACTGATCTCCTTAAACCAACTCCTCATCGTTAATTAAATAATTAAACGGTTTAAATGACCTGGCTGTGTGTGAGAAATACAACCGGTTAATAATATTTTGAGGAGATATAATATGACTTACAAACTAATTCACAGATTCAAGGATAGGGTATATGTTAGATATTTAGATTCAGACTAGACACTAGTGACTACTTACTAGTCACTGACTCACTACTCACAAGTCATTACTAACTACTCACTACTCACTACACACTACTCAATACACACTAGATGCTAGTGTGAATGCAGGACAAACAAAAAGGATACGCCAGGAAGATGGCTGCTCAGTACAATAGAGCAGTGCAGAATGTAGTAGTCGGAGAGTTCGTAGCACAATAGTCACTAGTCAGGTACACTGTACTATTTAATTAAATATACTAGGTTAAAGATTAGAACACACGAGAAATAACAACTTAAACATCAGAACAAAATACCATGTTCAAGTTTAGAAGAGCATTAGCATTTCTGAGGGTGTACTAAAGCAAGCGGTACGTGACATAACGTACGGTACGTGACATAACGTACGGTACGTGACATAACGTACACCCTCCAAGTGAGCTTCGTTTCTAAGAACTAGCGGGGAAGTTATAAAACCTTGATTTGGGGCCAATTTGTGTCAGAAAGTCAGATTCGGAGCTCGAATTATTGGAAATTTGATAATACGAAAGCGGAAGCAAGAGTATGGAATGGCGAATAAGCGGTATGCGATGGACACGTAGACGATCCCCAATAGGTTACTTTAGGTTACAATAGGGCAGTAGGCTAGCAGTTACAGCACACTGTGTAGAGGCAGATAAATGAAGTTAGTGGCTCAGTGAGAGAGAGAGAGAGAGAGAGAGAGAGAGAGAGAGAGAGAGAGAGAGAGAGAGAGAGAGAGAGAGAGAGAGAGAGAGAGAGAGAGAGAGAGAGAGAGAGAGAGAGAGAGAGAGAGAGAGAGAGAGAGAGAGAGAGAGAGAGAGAGAGAGAGAGAGAGAGAGAGAGGGTTGTAGTATACAAGCAATCATCCTGGAGTATATTGGACTGAGCGCATGATAATTACTACTCACGTCTAGTACATTAGTATATATCATAGTATCTATAATTTATATATTGTAGTATATCACGTCTAGTATATAATATAGTATCTGACGGCTTATTACCACTCCCTCGACCTTAACATAGTCCATCGTGAAATGTAACTCACTTTCTATTGTCATGTAAATGATGATAATGATCTGGCCTCCCTCTCCTATTCTGATTCTTGTAAAGTAAGGTTAACAATAGTTATAACACGTGATACATAACATGTATGTAGGCTGCCGTCATCGTTCCCTTGATTTTATGTGTAAGATGTATTAGCCATATTTCCATGTGCAAGAACATGTGCGTTTGACAATAGAAGACATAATACATATTACTCGTCATAATACATATTACTCATTCTGAATACTAATTTTAAGGATTGAACCACCGGTTCTCAGAATTCATTTGAGGCGGAGGGAGGGGGCATTTATTTAACTCATGGACATGCCTTCATATTGAGACGAATTCGCTGTTTCTGTTGAACTATGCTAAGAATTGTTCAGCCAGGTAAGATATGTCAATTGTCAATGCAGAATTGCCGAAAGTAAAGTTTAAACTGCCACTTAAATATTACGTAATCAAATCAAGATGATATTACCAACGATCGCCACAATATTAAACTGATAAATTCCTACCGATTTCAGAATGACGGTCAAGATCCTGTGGTTGGTTAGCGAGGTAAATTTAAATAAACTGCAAGAAGAATGTGTAATTTTCATAGATCTAACAGCATCAGATAATTCCACTTTATAAATGAAAATGTCACATTTATATTAGCAGTTAGTTTTAGTAACAACCAAAGATAGGAAACAACCTCAAAGTTTAACAACTAACTATCTTATTTTAAATGAAACCAGCACGTTTTATAAGATTACATAAAGTAGTGGATGACCTTGCTGTACGGCAAGTTAAACAAGGATCTGAAACTACTAGGTTCCGTACAGACTCAACTCTGCACCCGTGGCCGTGTCAATATGTTCATTATATGCAAGCCTCTTGATTTATAACTATATCATAACTGGGATAATCACAGTGACTCACGACATGGCTGCAAACCAACAGGAACGAAACTAAAAGAGCCCGAGAACCAGTTGATATGGAAAAGCATTCCATCTTTAAGTACGTCTAACCAAGCAAGAGGAGTACTGACAATTAGCTGCGATTATAATTGGACAGAGCCCGAGTACACACACAAGTAAGACACAAGTAAAATGTAAACGAAATATAAAGCTACCATTAAGTACGGACATTGAACACTGAACAGGATGGTATTTATATGTTATATTGAAGCGATTAAAATGGTATACGTTGCTACGATGCATTAATTGAGGCACATTGAGAGTAACTGACGGTGTCGGGTAAGGAATAATGTTAACAAGGTTAACCACTAGACAAGTTCCTCCTATTTAAATGAATTGTCAACGGAGCGGAAATCCTTGCAACAAGAGTGGTAGTAAGGATGCTGACAAAAGACAAAATTTTAATTTTGTTTGTTTGTCAGCATTCTTACTACCACTCTTGTTGCAAGGATTTCCGCTTTTAAAACAGCGAAATGAAGGACTGCATGGACAGCGTTATTTAGGTATTCCTTTTGTAAGCTGTATAAAGCATTTGGAACATTTTATACGGCAGCGTTTTGGGATTTCAAGGACAAATATCGAACCTCACGATTACCAAAAAAAAACCTTGTGCATTTTGAAATTAACGTCAATAACTATTCAAATTTCCGGGACAAATTTCATAGCGAGTTTTCGAAATACGAATTAACAAGAGCCTTATTTGGATATATGTCCTGAATATACGACAAAAGGGCAGCAACAATGTATAAACCACCGCTAAAGCTCACCAGTAAACCAGGAAATCTTTCTTATCACGTGATTGACCGTTACACAAATTAAACCCTATAATTTTACATTTAGACGTGTATAATGGTATCATAATTTAATTATATTATATATAGGCCGACAGGCTGTGCGCGTATTATGTGACATCTATGTCAAAAAACCGAACGTTTCTCACGAAAAGTAATTGCAGCAAATTATTAAGTTATTGATCTGATAATTGTTATTTCCTTTATTTTAAGCCACGTCATCTGCCACGTCTTCATGACGTTCTTTAGAGCTACAGATCCGGGTATGATAGGATGGCTTTTAAAAAAGCCGGATGTTTGAGCACATGCACAAACACATTCTACTGCTACTTTATCATAGTCTGATCAATATACCGTCACGAAATTTAGGAGGAACTACATTATCCAAGTTTTATCTAAAAGCATTATTACCCAAACGGAAACAAATCCTACAAAGAAAACAGACAATCACGTACAACTTGTACGTGAGTTTCGTAAATCATGATGACGTGTCGACTAGATGAGGTGTAATTAGGTACTTAGTAATTAATATGTCACGTGACCATGGTAACTGACAAGACATACCTCTGATGCTGTTCTTGCTCCTCCTTCTTGAGGACTGTTAAAGATGAGGAGAGTAGTACAGCTTGCCTGCAAAGCAAAACATCAACTTGTGTGCGGGACTAGAAACCACTAGAACAGAGTAGCTTCAATTTATTGCTCTAATTTATGTACAAATTAACTTAATCTAAGAAACAACCTCTCAGTTGAATTTGATATTCAATAAATTTGTATTTAAAGCCTTTAAATAATTTGTATTTATCCAGCTGTGGTAGACGAGCATTCTTTAAATCAAGTAAAAGTCTGACTTACGTTCTAGTAGGGCTCCATCGCTTGGCGAGAAGGGTGGCCTGACGCCGGGCTTCCTTCCTGATGACACGTTTCAAACATAACCAAGTGATATCACGTGAACAGGTCGCTCTGAACATGTGGTACAGCGCCATGGTAACCAACCATACCGTGTACCTACCTACAAATAGTTATATATTTTAGTTGAGTTTACATAGTCATTGTTTTATTATAATAGCGGAAACAAAATGCAGCCATGATATTGGTAAACAACAAAGAAACATTACAGTAGGTGAGGAATATGGATTCCTCAGAACATGATAACGTTTGTGCTTTATTTAGTTTTTTATCTCTGGTAATTAATTAATCAGTTCTTGGCATTAGGCCAAAGAAAAGTAGAATTGCACGAAACAATTCTTCAGAACTTGCTATAATGAATTACTGTTTTCTACATATTATATACTTCTTTCGTTTACAAGGAGCAATCAAAGGATGACTGTGAATCATGATCATGCTGTTTGTTTTAATAATTCAGTTTGGATGCAAGCTATTAATCAAGTAATACGCCCCAGCTGCAGAAAAACTTATATATTCAATGTTAAAAACAAAATATTCTGTAAGAAAATTGTAACTCAGTTACATAAACAGCAAAACATAAAATACGAATGATTACATAAGCCCAGTGATGGGCGGAGTTTTTTAACTGGCCGATAACTCTGGCCATAAAAATGTTATTTTCTTCAACAAAATATATACAGTATATCATCTCATGCAATTAAAGCAAAGGTGAAGAAAAAGACGAAGATTGTCAAGCTAGACTATGTCACATACCGGACACATCAAATTCCTCAAATTCCTCGGTGCGGAGTTGTTTTTCAAAGAAAAAACGTTAAAAAGATGTAACGGTGTCAGTAGAAAATACCGCATTAAATGAAAGATTTAAAAAAAGACTGTCGAATCTGCTAGATCATGGAAGCAATCAACTCGATCACGTATAACGTGAAATAGCTCAAACTGAGCAGATAACCTTGTTGCTGTGATTATAATTTAACAGTGAACATGTTTTGTTCAATAGGTTTCTTGACCCAACATCCGTAACCCAGTTTTTTAAACTGATCCATGACAAGCATCTTAGCAGCGGTGTACTCTTTTGCTGCATTCTTTGCTTCACTGTACAGCTTTCCATCGAACTCGTCTGATCCCTTCACTTTCTTATACTCTGCTAGAAACAGTTTATAAAGCGAATTTTTGCATATTCTTGATTGTGTCGCATGATTATCGTTGATCTTTCCATCGACAGTACGAGTCGCTTCAGGTGCAGTATCTCCGTAGGTCCAATTGAAGCAAAATCCAGACGCTTTGCTTACAGATCTTGGTTCAGCCACCGAAACAGGCAACAAGAGAGGAACATTAACTTTATAGCCATGTGGCAGTTGAGATTCCACTCCCTCAACTTGTAGTCTTCTGTAAATGGCCCTGGATAAGTGAGAGTGACTGAAAAGACGTCCTACAATAATAGAGGAGTAGTACACTGGAGTCATGAAGTGTGAAAGGAGTGTGCCTTGTACTCCCAGCACATTGCTCCTGCACAACTTATCACTACACGACATCGTCCTCAGTCTCTGACCTGCTAGTATCCCGTCCCATGTCAACAGAGCCTCATTTGGACTAAGTATCGGGATTGTCCCTTCACCACTCTCTATTTTAGTCCTCAGCTGACCTCTGTTTATTCTGTTGGGGTGGTTATCACCGTCAATGACCTGAGCCTGGTCCCCTTCTTGTTTAGGGCTGAAGATCCTGGCATCACCACATGGTGCTGTGTTGATGTAAAGATGGAGGGTAAACTCGTTTTTCAGTTTGTATTTTCCATCTTTTAACTCCAGAACAGAGCACCTCTTGTCACGGAAGGCTTTGAGCTGACCGTAAAGGAACCGAATGACACACCTTCTTATCTGTATTTCTGCATGACTGTCGTTAACTGCTTTTCCATCTGCACTGAGATACTCTCCTCCTAATACTTTCGTACCAGTGGTCAGAGCAATCACTTCCATATCTCCATCAGCTCTGAATGAGTTCTCATTGACGTTATTGTACAAAATTGCTGCAGCAAGAACTTTCTTCTTTTTTTGGTGTTCCTCTACATGCTCACTCAACTCTGTAAACTTAGCTTGAGCTTGAGATGCCACTTTGTCTGCGAACTGTTGAAGATGAGACTCAATAGCAGGAGCATCATTTGCTGGTGTTTGGGGTGTGATATGCTCAACCGTTTCATCCATAGCTACATCGTACCCCATCGTAGCAAGAGCTTTCATAGCACACACTTGTTTTGCTTTCTTCTTGTTTGTACTGACTCCTTCGATAACATTTCCAAAGAATGTAAGTTTTGCACTAAATGTGTGCTGTCCTTTTCCAGGATGAGGACATTCAACAAACTCAAAGTGACAATTTGTTGGCCCATAGATTTCATTTAAAAGCATAACAGCACTCTGTCCGTCACCAAGAGAGATAGGGCTTTGTGGAGTATGAGCCTTTTTCTTTGGCATCGCCTTCTTGGGAGTGGCTTGTTTTTCAGGCGGAGGCTGACTTGCCTCAGGAGGAGCACTAATTTTATCAGCAGGAGCTTCATTTTGATCTTGTGAAGCCTTGCCGAAGTCGGATGTTAGACCTAATCGTTTAGATATGCAAGAAGCTGCAGCCAGTCTCTTGGCTTCCTTCTTGTTGGTAGCGGTTCCATAAAAATACTCATCATTCACTCGAAGTGATACGGCGAATTTTAGGTTAGCCCCCTTTTCAGCTACCTTGCCTTCATTCCATTCTGCACAGGGGTATTTTTCATTTACAATTGACACTGGGTTCTTATGAACTAATCCCTGGACTCTAGCACCAGTCCTTTCCGTCCAAAACTTCACTTTCTCGTCTTTTAATGAAACAATTGGCTTTTCAACAGGAGGTGGTATAACAATAGGATTAACTTGCTCATCTTCAATAGAAGCAGTATGGCTTTCTAAAGTTTCCTTTATGTCATGTCTAATTTTAGGAATCTTGTATTTGTTATTGGTAGGCGATGAAGAGTCATCATTCTCTGAATCATCGTCTGAATACTGCTTTACTCTTCTCTTTTTAGCCATTTGGTCTTTATGCTTAAATGATAAAACATTTACCTTCGATAGTCACAAATTTGTAATAATTTAGAGCAATGTTCCATGACTTGATCATATCACTCCTTCACTAATTTATTACACTTTTGTGGCTATCGAAAGTGAATATTAAGTCATTCAAACATAAAGATCAAACTCTGAAAATTGAAGTTATCATAGGAACAAATTTCAATGAAAGTTAAACATGGATTAGAGCAACAAGATTAAATATGGAAGCAAATTGATGAGTTTTATGATTAGTGTCTCTAACACATTTGTCACATATAATACATACCTTAAATACAATCTTAATTAATATTTGAGGTCCCATATTTGAGACCTCATATAATAATCATATTTTCATACATAACGGTCATCTTTTAGAATGTTTAGCGTAGTTTTGGTGTTATTGATCTTATCAAGGCGAGCATAATCATGAGTGTAATTACGAGGTAGCTCGTCATCATCATCATCCTGACGTGATGGACCGTCAACCATCTTTGAAATGCTGTTGATCGCCTGATCAGTCTTCTCTATGTTTTCAATCTTTGTAGATAGACCTAAGTCCACTTCAGGAATACCTGAGCAAATATTAGTGTAGATGATAACTATGTAAAGGTTGTATCTAAATATTTATAAAATATCATAAGATAAGGAAATCTGTTATCTGTCAGACTTTTTTTGGAACTTGGACGTTTTGTTTCAGTCAGAGGAAATCAAAAATTTGTATGTAATCAAATACCTGTCTTACTATCTGACATCCTACACACCAGTATAATTACACAATAATCCCCCAAAATAGGGCACTGCACACTGACATGTCGACAATTGAGGACAAACCAGTCCTGTATACGAACAAAAAGTGCTTGGAAACTTATACATAAACTCAACTCCCACACAATCAAATACTGACAAAATTCAAACATATCGAGTCTACACACCAAGTACATAAGTTAGCTCATATCGCAGTCTTAGCAACACTAAAAATTTCACCCTTTTTGATTAAATGTGGTTTATCCGGCTCTTCGGTTAACGGACTCTTAGGTCCTTGATCAGATCCTTGATCAGATCTTGCTGCTTGAAAATGAAAATGCAGAAGAATATGCTTTAAAAAGGAAATTGCAATGACGTGAGAATAAGTCAAAATAAAATTTTCCCCATTTCCCATCATGACTATTTTGCACCTAAGTGGCCCAAGGACATTTTAATAGCCAGGGTTATCTATGGTAATTTTGATCGATCTGAACAATTAAAATTACTGAATATGACAAGTAAGGCCACAGGCTGCACCAATGATGTGGTGCTCCATGGTCACACAGTTAAATCTGTTAATTTATTTTACACTGCTGAAAAGTACCTGTTAAGACTTGGTCACTCATCATGTCTTCGGTCATAGAAACATTCTTTGTTTGAAGGTGCTCTGGAACGGTAAACAGTTCGTTTATCCTTTGCTGATATTGGTCTTCTACCTCCGACACAGTTCTTACACCTGCCATTTATGTCGTTAAAGTTATCATACCAGATTCAAAATCGAAATTGAACATCTAAATCAAATCATATATGCAAGACCAACTTCTGGATGCAGATGATCGTAGATATCTGTTAAATTACAATTTACCAAATTTAATGTTTTGATACATTTTTTTTAAAATATTGTATTAGATAAATAATTAATGTTGGTGGGAAATATTAATTATATATTTTTCGACATAGTGCGATGATATTTTGTAGACATGTGTGATGATGTGATGTCATAAATTTTACTTTACTTTACTTTTACTTGACATGAACGATAATATATTGAATTAAAATTTACCTCTTCTTTTAGCAAGCTCTTCTTTTATGTAGTGATTCATGAGCTGATCTTCTTCTCTGTGATTAGACTCTGCTGAGAAAACACTGCCTACTTGCAAACCATATTTGTCCTGTTGACTGTCTGACGGCTTGGAAGCCGAAGATTTGATAAAAACGTTTCCAGTTAAGGTCTCTTCTGCAGTCACAATCCGTCCAACTGCCAACGACACTGCATTTATTCCTCCCCGTTTGTTGCGGAATTTCTGAACTTCTTTGATTTCGGATACTTTAGTAGGTATTTCCTCATCAGAATCATGTGTGCTGCTGGATGACTTCTTTCTTTTCCGATAGGATCTACTACTCATAGCCAGGATAAGAAACAGTTTAATTATCTAGTTTTCTATTTTATGGAATCGTAACATAACATTATAAATAATGCCTCTCTGGGCATCTCAAAAAGAAATTCATAGAAAATGAACACTTTACGTTTGAAACCATATAATTACAAACTTTTAAAAAATTTAACTAAATACCTTTGATATTAACCTTCTTCCTCTTAGCTACCAATGGATTCTCTTTCATATAACTTACATAACTATTCCTATTAGACACAGACACATCTATCCTATCAAAGATGTCATATGAAAGTTCCCAGTGATGACCAAGCTTATTAGCTCGATAACCATGAAGCCGAAAGGCATCTAATCCCCTCTTGAAACCAGTAACCGACTCACTAGCTTTCACAAGTGGTGGTAGACTGTTCCAATAGCGCAAGACCCTTTGGGCAAAGAAATCAGTCTCATTTGTGGTGAATCTATGAATCTTTGATCTAGCAGCAACGGTCCTTCCAGAACGACAAAATAAATCGGAACCATAACCCACAAAGCCTTCCTGGAGCTTGAACATCTCAATGAGATCTCCACGAACCCTGCGTTAAAGCAGTATATTCTTTGAAAAACTTACATTGACCCATCTTCAAAAATGTCATGTAAGGTAAATTTAAGTGTTCGCACCTTAAAGGACTCAATGCGAAGGTATTTAGACCACAAGCTCGAACTAGCCCTCATTTAGTTCCAGATAAACATTAAATTAACAATTAATAAAATGATGAACAAGTACGAAAACTTTACAGGCAATCTAATAGTTGACCTAAATTAAAACCGCCAGAGAAACTGAAAATTGATATGTATGATGTCTAACGTGTCTGACACAAACAGCAAAACCCTTCATCAAGGTTGATGGATCAATTCGAATTACAGTTAAGCAGTTGGCAGTGCAATCGTGTTTCAATTAACAGACGGCCCCAACGTTAATGTGGCTCTTGCTTTGTGTTGGTTCAGCAGAATTAATTATTATGAGTTTAGATTGAAATTGGCTAATCTCCTCTGAATTGAATACAAATAACACACGTTATTGCCGACGTTTCGCCCCCATGGCTTCTTCAAGGCGGAACAAAAACTTTGTTACATAGTGACCTGGTAAATGTCCAAATTAATACATAAAACTCTGAGAAACATTAAAAATAAATGGGAAGATTCTAAGCGGTAGAAAATTTTAAAGCAAAAGATAGATGTTAGGCCAAAGAATCTAGAACTGTCGCTGTCCAAGGTAACCAACTGCGGCCAGGTAGCGCAGTTGGTTAGAACGCCTGTCTTACAATCGTTAGGTTGCGAGTTCGATACCCACTGACTGCCTGGTCGTGGGGTGAGCGTCGTCGACGTTCAGCTAAGGATCATGAGTGGTCTATGCAGCCCCCCGGTCTACTCAGCCGAATACTCGAGAAATCGGGTGTGAGGGTTAAATGAGGAGCTGCACATTGCAGCAAAGTCTCGGACGAAGAAAGTATGGTACACACTACCTTAACCGTCACTGGCCAAAAAGATCCTTCGGCTTCCTGTAATTGGCTGGTTGCACTTGTGTAACATTGTGGCTGTTGGAATACACCGAAGTAAAATAAGTGTCTAGATAAAAAAAAAAAAAGTTGTCATACGGCAAAACATTAAGCAACTTAAATTGCAGTACCATTTATCAATTAATGTATCAAAATATCTCATTGTAATTTTGCATGGCTGAAATGTAACGCTTGATTTATATATAATAATTCAATTTTCAAATAAAAACACTTAATCACGTTTTGACGAGTATTATTATTAACGAGTAAGTAAGGGAATGGTAGATGAAGAAGCAAGTTCACATAGTTTGAAACTCACGAAAATCACTCTTAATAATAGACACTGAAGAATGATCTTACACTCTTACGGTTGCACATTGCATGATCATTTGACCCTCGATTATGAGTCCACTGTGTGAATGCAGCCAAATAGAAGAACTCGTGTCAGATAATAAAAAAAACTTTTGTTTGTAATACATCGACTTGACCCTACAACGCAGAGTACACGAGGGATGGTTATAACTATAAAAGAATCGTAGCATTTTTATGTACCTCAAATATGAATTCAGCTCCTTAGATACATTTTTGTTAAGTTATCGTGTATCAGTTATGTGATAAAAACTAAAAATTTCTCAACAATGTGTGACTGTGTGCGTGGCGGGCTGTGCATATGATTGAATTTCAAATTTGAAGTTATTTATGAATATTACATAATTGATAATATGTATTGATTGTTTAGTGGTAAATAAAATTTTTGTTTTTCTAAATTTTGTTTTTCTTTGTAGATAAAAGCCCCAACAGAATTTTGTCCAAGAAAACCTATGTTTATATAAGCTAACCATTTAACAAATTAACACACATTGAATTATTTTGAAGAACCACCAAGTTGATTACAATGTGAAATGATTGAATATTTTTAAAATTATATTTTAAATTATTATATACAATTTGCTAGTTTACTCATTCATAGTGTATAGCTTCGACACGCCGCGCGTAAATACTTTTAATACTTTCAGCGCTGCTATATAACGGATAATTTGAGTTCAGGGATAGCATGTACTAGTACCCCCAAAGGGGAGACGTGAGTTATTTGTTGCTTGATTTGTTTGCTGTGCTGTCTTTATTAGCTGTGTGTTGCTTGGCTGTGCGATGTCAGGTACAGGTATAAAAACACCATCTACCGGAAATAGACGAGGCTCTGTGACAGGAACAGGGCCAACCGCTAAAAAAGAGCATCATAATGTTGATAAATGCCCATGCAGCCAATCGAATGCTGGAAGCTTCAAGCTAATATGCACAGGATGCAAACAGAACTGGCATGCAGATTGTCTGGGACTTAAGGGTATCACGAAGCCGTCAATAATGAAGCTGGAAAAGTGGTTATGTCCATTTTGCTACGTTGCACCCGTACCAACCACCATCAAAGATATCTCATACGACAACTTCTGCTACAAATGTCGGAACACCTTGAGTCTACAACAGTCCAATAGTGATTATGAGGTGCACTCTGCCTGTCAGAATCTCAAGGACATAGAAACCTTGACGAAATCACTGTCAACAATTGATGTTGATAAAATGAAAGAGTCGATCCAGGTGATCCAAAACCTCGACCTTCACATGCAACACCTGCTAACCAATGAACATGGTTTGAAAGACCATCAAAACCGAGTCAAAAACATAGAAGACCATTGTAAAGGAGAACTAAGTGAAGATGTAAGTGGTGTCAAAAAGGCTATTAAAGACCTTCAGAAACAAATCACAGATCTTTCCACCAAAGGTCTTGTCTCATCTACTGCTCCCAAGCTTGACACTGAGAAATTGATACATGATATCATAGACCAGCTTGATGAACATACTCGGCAGGAACCGCATATTTCTCTTGAACTGAAGGGAATCAAGCAGTCTCTAGACCAACTATCTTCCCAACAGACGACAATTCCTCATGATCAGCCATCATCTGGTTCTGCATTAAATGATAAGCACCTTCTATCAAAGACCACCTTTAAACATGAGGAAAAACCTGTGGTAGACACCGTGGAAGAATTCATCGACAGTGATGCTGAATCAGACCTTCTCCAATACTGCGAATCTCTTCAGTTCAGTCAGGAGAATGGGCATTCAGTATGTTCTTTTGGAGAGAAGTACAAGTATAGCGGATCCAGAGATGAGAATAAGAAAACCGTGGAGATCCCTGATAAAATTGCTGCACTTGTCCTGAAAATCAATGAGGAGTTCTGTGCAGAAGGAAACCCTGTAATGAATAGCGTGTTGATCAACCGCTATGAAGAAGGCGAGGGTTATCTGCCTGAACATTCAGACAATGAACCGGTGATACATCCAGAGTCTAGCATATTGACTCTTTCCATTGGAGGTGAATGCAAAGTCCTCTTCACTGAAATGAACAACCCAGTTCACACGCACAAGTGTACTCCAAGATCAGTTTACAGGATGACCAGAAGGAGTCAGGCTCACTACAAGCACTCTATCCAGAAGGGGTCAGTCACTGGTGCAGTACGATATAGTTTCACCTTCAGATCAATAGATGGAAAGAATCGTGCCAGTACTTGTATCTTCTCTGATTCAAATGGAGCAGGTATGAAATTTGGAGAGGATCACAAAAGGAGCTTTGGTAAGTGGCTGCCTGGTCGGAATGTTTGGACTCCTACAATAGATGACATTAACCCATATCTTGCATGTGGATACAAGAACATTGTTATTATGTGTGGTATAAATGATGTTAGAAGACCATCTGTTAAATCTCAGCGTGAAATTTTTGCTATATTTAGTCATCTAGAATTCAAGATTGAGCAAATTCAAGAGGCCAATCCAACTGCCCAAGTATTTCTTTGTCCTCTTTTACCAACTCGAAATGCTGATTTAAATAGGAAAGTTCTTTACTTTATAGAACTTATTCGTCGTGAGCTACTCCCCAAAAACTTTGGTGTCCAGTTCGTTGATGGCTTTGATGACTTCCTTGACAATAACACTGGCTTACTTTGCCTAACCTTGTCCAGGGAGTTTGACAGATATGGCCGAACGGATTACCTGCACCTTAATTGGAAGGGAGTGGCCAAACTTGCTACTTTAATCCGTAATACTGTCCTTGTTAGGATGCATGGAGGGACTGATAGGAGGAAGAGGGGGAGGAGGGACGGTAAGGTTGGTTCAACACTTTATTCTCATGCCGCCGGAGGACAGCCTCATGTTGAAGGCTATCAGCCTCCAGCATGAATGTTCTTAAAAAAGAGGTCTGTGCCCACTGTTTAAAAAGTATTTACTTAGGTCAATCTATAATTGAATGCTACCACTGTAATTGTCCCATTCACTCTAGATGTTTTAACACCAGTGACAAACAAAATAAAAAAGTTGACTTGTACTGCAATAATTGTATCCACCTAGCAGTAAACCGTTATAACCCATTTAAGCTTCTGAATGATGACAATGATGACAACACTGATGCAGATGATGTAATACGTAAAATCTCTGAGGTACTTGAAAGCTGTG